GTTGTAGATTTAAAATGCTGCCTTTTGTCGAGTCATAACGAAAAACAAGACATTTGCTTGTTAGGCGCATATACTGTACATGGAGAAAGTATATATAATTGAAATTGGCCCTACAGATTACAGATTGCCCACGAGGGGGCTAGTTTATTGGGCACCCCCTTACATCCTGTGCAAGGTGAAGCGCAGAAGCGTTTACAGCGCCCAACTGGGAAGCATGCGGAGTTCATGCTTGCCTTTATGACTCATGCATTAAGGGCGTAAAAGGCCTGAAGAGTCATGGGTTTTGTCAGCAAGTTACATAAAGTGACAGAATGGTGAGTGTGTGGGGGGAAAATTCCAGGTACAATTTATCTGTTTATGGCAAAGTGTGGCAGGTCCCTAATAATGTCAAGTGCCAGGCATGTCACTAGTTTTGAAGGTTGTGGCCAAAGCTGATTAACCTTGAGTTTGACCTCCTAGCCACTTGTTTGTGGGAGTTTGGAGCAGGGTGAAGTCCGGGTGTTCTTGAGGGGATGGGGGTTGGGGCTTTGGGAAGGATGGTTTATTAGAGTGGGAGGGTGGGGGGCGGGGGGAACTGGCCTCGGGGTACGACCTTTGTGAGCGCCAAGCTCCTGGCTCTTCGACTTTAAACCACCTTACGCTAGAGCTTAATATTGTACCACTAGTCATAGGAAGCTGACGAAAGTCCACGAGTCACTATGACTCCTCATTCTGTAAACATGACAAGGGGAAATACCAATGATGTTTGGTTGTATCATTACAGGAAAAGAATAAATTTTACTACGCCTATTAAATATTTTTGGTTCACACACTTGTCTAGTCAGGCTTATGTTAATACCAGCAGCAAACCTCTGTCCACGAGCACATTGGCTATTTACCGATATGGCTGTTGCTATGGGAGCCGGCCCTGGGGTATAGTTGGTCCTTTTACCCAGGCGCTGTTATTATTAATACAATATACACCTTTAACGTGTAGGACTATACCACACAATCGTCTACACACACAGAGTTATAACTGAGATTTGTTAAGTCTCAAAACGACTGTCATCGTCTCCAGACAACATACCATTTGCCAGTGTTCTAAATGCAATAAAACGACGCCATTGTTATGTAAAAAATAAAAATAAAATTTAAATTGTATTTTTATTGTTGAATATTGAGTTTTCTCCCAGTAACAAAATAAATAGTTCCCATATGCAGCCATAACGTAATGGTATCTGAACTGTGAGTCACATTTGTTACAAGATGAGGCTGGGAGAGCAGACAGTATCAGATTACGTGGTTTCTCCCGCTGACTGGCTTGTTGGTGTCCAGGGCCTGTGGCTGACTGCATCCTGTCCATAAAGGCTTATGCATTACGGACTTCCCGACATATTGTATATGATGCCACTCTTAAAAATATACAGTGTAGTGTACTTGTTCCAAACATACATGAGGTATTTGAAACTACAATGGAGATGGAAATGAATACCCCATACATTAAGTAAAAATATTTTTTTTTTTTTTGTATTGAGAATTAAAAAAAAAACATTATGATCAGTCTAAGTATTAAAAAAAATCTGGACCATTATTTACTACATGTTCACCACAACACTAGTATACTATACATGCTATTATATTAAGAATTCAATAACAAAAGTATCACACGCCATTTATATTACCTGTTCTGTAATAATAGTACTAGATGTTCTTGTTCTTTGTATTACAGCACTGTAGGCATAAATATAAAGTTAAGTCACACAACAAATGATCAACTGAACTGCAACCCTTTGGGATGACATAACGCCGGGGACAGCTACCTAAGTTTGTAATCCCTCCATACCTTCATCCCTCGTATGTTTGCACCAATACTTGAATTACTCGTCATCATTCACGCTCACGTCAGTATAAGAGTGAGTTACAGTGAAAGATCCAGTAAGACGGGATTTTGTTTTCATCAATAACGTCTAAGGGTGGCAAAGTACACCTTAACTGCTTTGTATGTTCAAGGGTTTTCTTTCTCATTAGCAAAGGAAAAATAAAAACTGAATGGTTTTCTCGCGAATTTGTGTAAGTAATCTTATTATAATATGCCACATCTTAGTGGTCATCTATAGTTTTCACCCTTGACCGCAAGAGGACTACGTGTCGTCGTAGATTACGTGCGGCCTATACAGTATTAGTCTATAGTACAGACTGTCGATGACTCGGTGTTACCATGGAGTCAAGGTTTGTTTGTGTCTGTTTATCAGTTACAAGACGCACCATCATCTCCTTTATCTTTATATAGCTAAATGAGTACAGATATTTTGCTAATGGTAAATATATTATATATCAATGAAAATTTGGCAAGTTGATGTAATTTCTTTTATATCTGATATGGTAAACGTAAACATCCAAAGGTGGCAGTATTTTAAAAAATATGCAGTACTTATTTTATCTTCTGCAGACAAACCGAGAATACCGAAATAACCTATGCCAATTTTAAGCAATGAAGAGAAAACTTAAATATTCTAGGTCGTCCGAATACAATAACAATAACCTTCAATAACACTTTCATTTAAGACACTTGTTTTGCGTAAAAGTATTGATTGAAAAATATTGGTGGAATACACATCCAAGTATAATATACTGTAGAGTTACATGATATATGTCTGGGAGAGAAAAAAATTGACATACGGAAGTACCTGTATATTTGCTCGTTACCAAAAATATGCCACCCGTAGTTTATTTTACTTGATTAAACAGCTTAACGCTAACCTATGCTAACCAAACCTTTATACCTTACATAATCTAACCAAACTAACTTAACTTCTGCTAAAATAAACTGGGGGCTAATCAACTGGTGAAATAAGCTGGGAGGCCAACTGACCGTATGATACGACTTTTCAGCATTATCAGTCTTGTTCGTCCTGTGCCATCCACTCAATAATACTACGCCATCTAACGACCCTGGAATAATCTTTCATTGATTAACCTGGAATCGGACAAGGTTGAGTTATATTTACATTTCGTTTCAACAAACTTAATTTGCTTTGCACAGTGATTACGCAGTCATTCGATGGTAGAGACTGGGTGGCGCAAAGTAAGAATAATTTTCAAGACAGCCAGATAACTTTATATACAATACCTATAAAAATGAAAAAAAACCAGGCTCTTAACTTTAGCTTGAGAGTACTCTACTCTGTTGTAATACAGTTTCTGTGGATTCCATCTCGTGTTGGTAATAGTACACAATGATACGATTGACTCGCGCTAAGACTGCCTGTGGTCTTGATTTCCGAGGCTGGGCCTACTCCCTCCTTCCTCTGCTACAGAGAGAAAATAAGTTCTACCCGTCTCCCTAAACAAAATGTTTAATTTTTTGCCAGTAACGTGGCTAATTACTGTAAACGGATATTCCTTGAACATATCACATCATTCCCTCGGTCTTATGAAATATATAGATCCTTGTAAAGGGGTCAAACTGCCAACTACGCACTACCCGGCAAGAACCCGAGATCATTTTAGCATGCCGCCTCGCTTCTCTCACGACTACTACGCAAATGTGAGCAGTGGCAAAGTCGTAAAATTACCCATCTTTTTAGAACTGTCTTATATATTTGTCTTACAAATTATTCATGAATAATTTAGGTCCGCTTTCCATACTTCGTAAATTCTAATACAAGTAGGTGTATGCAATTGTTAAAATATAAAACGTAAGGCTCTTACAAAGGTACGTGATTCTGAGATCAGTTATTATTTGATATCATTTACTTCTTGTAGACAGCTCATGGTGGTTGCTACGCCAAGTGTGGAAACCTCAGATGTTTTACTATCTCCAAGGCGTACACATTATAGCGTCGTCTGTAATTTGGGGTATAAACATTTCGAGTGTGTCAAACTTCTCTATGCGTCGCCAGGGAAATAAGTACCACAATCAATCAAACTTTTCCATTAACGGGAAGAAAATAAGACACTGTACTTCCGATGTACGAAAGTACAATTTGTTTGTACCGAAACGTATTTATGGCTAAAACAAATAATAGTTCCACAATTTATGGCGTTAACTATAAACATTACACAGAATTTGTATCCTTATTTTTCTTAGTAAAACCGACACTTACATAATGCACACCTGTAATCTAATGCTTACTTATATTAAGTAACTGCTAGAGTGCAAATTTTTTGAGAAGAGTAATGTTTTAATAAATAGAAAAATTATCTTCAAACCTATATATCAATATTGAACACGCAATGTCCTGTTATTAAAACATTACGCTCATGGTAAAAATTTACAAGGATATAAAGTTCTCTTCAGTATATAAACTGATTCCTGTTGCTTCAATGAGAACAGACATACTCCAAAGGAGTGAATGAGTGATGACGTTTAACTAGCTAGCCGATTCAGTTACGGGCAAAGTACTATTGCTGAATAGGTCGTCGGTTTATCTTTGTTTTATCCATATAATTATTAAATAAAATTATGTTCTTATTTCTAGAAATTTGTTAAGTATTCACTGCGCGAGCATTTCGCCCTATATAAAATACTCGAGCAATACAAAGGGGTGGATTAAAGAATTCGCCAAACAATAAAATAAAAATATTTTTATTTTCCTTTGTGGAAATTATAGAACCTATAATATTATCCTTTCATTTGTATTCGGATTAAATTTCATTATCAAGCAGCAATGACAGATTTTGTTTCTACCCCGAGTTTACTAATTACAAGTTTAATCGGCAGCCGTACAATAGACTATACCTTCTATCCTTATCGACAACAGGGAACCAGTTTCGGGCATGCGCAGCCTCGGTAGCCTGTCACTGGTTGGTGGAGTATACTGTACGTCGTAACTTCAGTATAAGCTCATAATCCTAAAACAAAACAAAACAAAAAACGCTTAAATTTTAGTTATGTATCCATTCAAGTGTACAAAAAAGAAACCTCCACATACGATCAAAAACAAAAACATTAATCATGGAATTAAACCAGCGATGCTTGGCAGCTTTTGCCTTGAAGAGTGCAGCAACGCAGGCCGCCGCTCCCAACGCTCAGTATCGTATTCACTTAGTCAGAGAAGAGCTATCGCGCATTCAGTGTAGTGCCGTAGCCATCTCTACGATCCCCTTACTTACATTATCTCTTATCATCGACATATCACGATCACTGACCAATCAGATACCAACAGGGTTAGCTAACGTGTCCAACACTGCGCTGAGAAGCAGATCAAGAAGACACTACTGGACCCAGCATACTCTGCTTATTATTTTTAACAAGACAACTACAACCACAGTGCCATCATGGTTCGCCTTGTTTTGGCAGTGCTTTTGGTCTTAGGTGAGTATATATATATATATATATATATATATATATATATATATATATATATATATATATATATATATATATAATTTTTTTAATATATAATTTCGGAAATTTTCTGTTTGGGGGCAAGCAGCGGATTTCAATGAAAATTGGTACACTGTAACAGTACAGTTCTTTACGTTGATTCCAAAACTAACTTTTAATATTGGTAGAAATTAAAAACAAAAAAGTTACATGTCCCCAAGAAGACGTAGAAACTGCCTTAATTGAAACCGAATGTGAAAAGGACCTGGGTGTGCATGTCGACAATGAACTTAAATTCTCGGGCCATTGTGAGAAGGTGAATCAGACAGCGAAACTATTAAGTCTTATAAGGTCGTCTAGTTATCTAGATGGTCAGTCACTCGTCATGCTCTTCAAGAGTGAGGTGCTTCCCCGTCTGGAGTATTGTCACTCCGTCTGGTCCCCGAGATATGCTAGAGATTGTCAATTGATTGAAAATGTCTAATAGAGAGCCACCAGAATGGTGGAACCTCAGTTACTCAGAGATTGGGGCGCCTGCAACTACCTAGCTTATACTACAGACAGGCGAAGGGCGACCTAATCAAAGTGTATAAACATCTCGGGGGGGCACTACTCGGTCAAATGTACATACCTGGAGCTGGCGGACGTCCACCCCATAAGGTGTCACAGCTCAAGGTTGAAGAAGCCACAAGTGCAGAAAACTGTGAGGGCAAACTTCTTCGGAGTGAGAGTTGTGAACTCTTGAAACGATCTGCTGGAGAGTGCTGTGACGGCACCAACTGAGAGCTCATTCAAGGCCAGACTTGACCAACACTGGGGCAGGTTCCGATATATTCAGGAGCCGGTGCATGTCCAGTATCTGCCAACAGTGCGTATCGGAGACGTGACTGATCGCCCAAGCGGCTAACGAACAGATCAGTGGCGAAGAGGATAAAAGTATAAAGTAAAGCATATTTAAGTGGGGAAATTTTCCATTTGGGGTCTAGCAGCAGATTTTAATGAAAATCGGTATACTAATGCAGTTTTTTACACCGATTCCAAAAACCTAACTTTCTCCATTTATTCCTCCAGGTTTGCACTGCAGCAATGACCACTATCCAGTGACGATTGGAGAAGACATGATTTAAATATGCTGTAACTTTTTTATTTGTTATTTCTCCAAAAATTTTGTCATGTTTGGAATCAGCTTAAAAAACTGTACTAGTTTACCAATTTTTATTAAAATCTGCTGCTAGCCCCCAAACAGAAATACTCATAATTTCCACCACTTATCAGCTTTCTAGCAATTGGGCAATCTGTCTGTTCATTGTCACGACCTACCCTACCCGTAGTGTCCAGTGTTAGTATTGGCACAGTTGGGGGAAACCGGAGTAGTAAAACGGAGAAAACTGCAATGTTAGGACGGGTCACACTTTTTACTTTTACTCTCTTCACCACTGATCTGCTTGTTAGCCGCTTGGGCGATTGGTCACGTCTCTGTTACGCACTGTTGGCAAGTACTGGGCATGCACAGGCTCCTGAATGTATCTGAACCTGCTCCAGTGCTTGTCAAGTCTGCTTTTGAAAGAGCTCACACTCGGTGCCATCGCAACACTCTCTGGCAGATTGTTCCACAGTTCACAACTCTCACTCCAAAAAAGTTACCCCTCACAGTTTTCTGGACTTACTGCTTCTTCAACCTTGAGCTGTGACCCCTTGTGGGCAAAGCTTCTGCCAGCGCCAGGTAAGGACACCTCAATTAGGTCCCCCTTATCCGTCTGCTGTATAAGCTAGGCAGTTGCAGGCGCTCTAATCTCTCAGGGTAGCTGAGGTACCGAAGTGCTGGCACCAGCTTGGTGGCCCTCCTTTGGACATTTTCAATCGACTGACAGTCCCTAGCATATCTCGGGGACCAGGCGGGGGAAGCATCTTTCTCTTCAAGATCGTTACGAGGGACAGACCATTTAGATATCTGAACGACTTTCTTATAAGACCTAATAATTTAGTTGCCCGATTCACCTTCTTCTCACAAAGGCCCGAGAACTTCAATTCATTGTCACCATACACACCGAGGTCCTTTTCGCATTCAGTCTCAATTAATGCAGTTTCTTCGTCCCATTGGGACATATGATACGCCCCCTTATCGTTAGTACGTCCCAGGTGCAGCCTTACATTTCATAACATTGAATCTTAGCAGCCATTTCTTTGAGCATTTTTTAAGTTCACAGAGATCCTTCTGCAGCTCTTCACAATTTGCTTGCTTCTTAATTTCCCGAAATAACTTGACATCATCCGCAAACATTTGTATGGAGGAATTTACAGCTTCTGGCATGTCAATTGCTGTATGAAGCAAACAAACAACAGTGGGCCCAATACACTGCCCTGTGGTACCCCACTTGTGACCGGTATACATGACGATTTCGTGCCATTAATCACCACACACTGCTTGCTATCATGGAGAAAGTCTCCGATCCACGCTAGGACACTTCTCCAAAACCCGTACCCTTCCAGTTTGATTTTTAGCCTTTCATGGGCAACGCTGTCGAAAGCCTTGGCAAAATCTAGGTATATATTGTCGATATTAACACCCTGTTCCAGAATTTGGGTCCAAACATCCAGTACCATGAGTAATTGTGTTAAACAGGAGTGTGTCCCGGCATAAAACCGTGTTGGCAATCCTTTACAAGGTTGTTTTGTAGTAGATGTTCCATCGCCGCATCTCTGATAATGCTTTCAAGTACTTTACATACTATGCCGATCAGGGTCGCTGGTTTATAGTTATTCATGGAATGACGATCGGCCTTCTTGAAGATAGGACTCACATAGCCATTTTCTAATCACTGGGGACCTTTTGCTCATCCAGGCATTTACAGAACAAGATCTTCAGGAGCTCGGCAAGCTCGTTGCACAACTCTCTGAGCACTCTGGGATGCACCATGTCAGGGCCGGGACTCTTATGGACCTTTAGCTTTGACAATTTATTTCTTATAACCTCTTCTGTGAATACAATGTGGCTCAGTGCTGTGTCGAACCGTCTCCTCAAACGCAGGAAGATTGTTCACATCGTCACTTGTGAACACCAAGGAAAAGAAACTGTTCAATGCCTCCACTTTGTCCTGGTAAGAATCTGCGTAAGTACCATCTTCAAACCTCAGGTCCGATACTCCTACTTGAGATTTTAATTTTGACTTTACAGAGCAGTTAAATGCCTATGGGTTTGACTTGACCTCGTTTGCAACCAGCCTCTGGAACTCCTTTTCAGCCCTTCTACTTTGCTGCGTTCCTGGATCTTGTCTTCATCCTCCTGTCCTGCTCATCGTTTGACCTAACCCATGCCTGGGTTTGCTTCTTAACTTTGTCGACCGCCGCATGGTTCATGTGTAGTGGTCTTGTATTCTTAGAGGCACTGGGTTTGGTCTTGGGTATATATTTTTTGATCAAATGGTTCACTTTACTGGCTATGGTATTCAGCGTAGTGTCTGCATTCTTATACCTTTGTGAGTCAGCCCAGTGGATACCCCTCATCTCCTCCCTCATCCTGTCGTAATTTCTATTATAATATTTCCACCTTGGCCTGGTTTTGTCGTGAACCAAGCAACAGTTAAATTTGAAAGACAACATTACATGGTGGCTGGTGCCAATGGAGGCTACATGTTCCACCTTGGCCACCATAACCCCCTTGTTTGTTATAATGAGCTCCAGTGACTTGGATATTTGCTCCCCTCTGTAATGCGTTGGGTCCTTAACATGTTGGAACAGAAAATTCTCTCTCAGAGTTTCTACAAAAAGAGTAGCAGGGTTATTTAAGTCATTTGGCATGAACTCATTTCTCCAGTCGATGTCACCATAGTCGGAGTCCCCCATGATAAGAAGGTGGCTAGGGTTAAGCATCGCTGCGTTGTCTGTTAAGGCTCTTAAGTTCCTTTGATTTAGTGGGCCACAGTTTGGGGATTTGTAGATACACCCACCAATAAGGAAGTCTTCCCCTCCCCTTTAATTTATTTCACACCACTTGGATTCTTCAAAAACATCCTCTCCCTGCACCCTCACCTGGCTGGCTCTAAGGTCTTGCCTAGCTTAACTCTTTAGGTGCGTAATTAAATTTCGCGCCGGTTCCTGAAAAGTGTCAATTATCCTGCCAAAAATGAATTTCATATAATCACATTTTCTATATGTTTTTCCTAGAGAACTTTTAGTATATTTTCCAAATCTGGAACAAAAATTCACATATGTGTGCACATTTTAGAGAAAAAATGACATTTATACCCAAAAATGCAGGAAATTGGTATAAATCAATGTCTGGTATGTGGCAAATAAATTTAATCAATTTGGTTACTAAACAGCAAATTTAGATATGTATTACATATTCAGATAATATCAAACAAAATAGTACAAAAATATGCTATATTGCATTCAGGAAATACTCCTATACCTCAATACATAATATGTCCGCATGTCGTCTCATTTGGGGAAGTTTTTTCAAGGCCGTGGGATATCCCCGCTTGTCGCATTTAATTAATATAATATTTTGGGCGGGTTTACCCGCATGTCGCATCCAAAGGGTTAAATAACCACACCCCTCTTGCAAGTATCCAAATAACAATGACCCTTCTCACATCCGACCCAAGGTTTCGTAAACACGACCGCAGTTGAGGCATGGGCGTTATTGCTGTGTGCAGTAATTATTAATACCTACCAACATCCATTATATAATACTGTACACTCCACTGACGACTGTAAAAATTATACTTTAAATGTGCAGAATATGATGCAAATATTTATCCAGCAGTTGTGTGAAAAACAAAACAAGTTTTCTTCTTGCTCGAAAATTAGATCATTAGATTGTGATAAATATATACCGTACGTAACGGGAATTCCAATGTACAAAATTGTAATTGTAATCAGTTATTAACCTAGTGATTTTTTTCCATAGAGTTAATACAGTACAAGGCCTCTTGAACACATTTTCACTATTGGACTATTATTATTTTTTCTTCACAGTACAATACAGTACTATATTTATGTACCTGCTTAATAGGTGTTATGTACAGTCTCGTTCAAGATTCTTCAAACACTGCTGGAGACAGCTGGCAATTCAAGTACAGTACAGTATTTAAGAATCCTTGTTTTATGGTTGAAGCTGTAATATTCCCTTAGAGATTTTATGGCTAACTTAACTGTAGTAAGTAAACTATTCCTAAAGGCTTAAAGATTGTGCAGTCAATCAAAAGCACGGGGGTGTTAAAAAGAAGTAAAGAACACGTGACCGATCGCCCGGGCGGCTAGCGAGCCGATCTTTTGGTGAAGAATATAAATGAAAAGAGACGTGACCGATCACCCAAGTGGCTAACAAGCCAATCAGTGGCGAAGAGGATAAAAGTAAAAGTGAAATCTTACGGACAGGACTGAATTTTGGAAAAGGAGTCTTTCTATATAAATTGCAAGAGGCATTTCTTGTTACAAGCGATATCTTGGGTATGCTGAAGCCACTGATGATGAATACCTAGTTGAAAAATGCCTTCTTGATCACTAAATTCCGAAGCTAAAATAACCACGACATGAGACTAATTTTTTCTAGTGTATACAACAATAATACTGTAAATGTTTTGTTTGTTTCAGTTAAAAATAACCTCCTTTTTTTCATACATCTTTTAATTGATGACAAACTACTAATAAAATCAATATAGTAATCAATTTGAGCAATTTTTTATTGATATAAATGGTCATCTTATGTGACCTTTGACCTTGTTTTGCCAAATTTTATTAAATAACCCTAAATAATGTTAATCTCGTGTACTATCATGGACCAAGGTAAAGTTCCTAGGGACTGGAAATTAGTCAACATCACCCCAGTATACAAGAACGGTAGGAAAAGTGCAGCAAGAAACTACAAGTCGATCAGCCTAACAGCACATACTGTATATGCAAACTCTTTGAGAAAATTTTGAGGTACACCATTATCCAACACCTGACCAATGCATCGCGGTTTCATGGAAAGAAAATCCAATCTGACAAACTTTTTCATGTTCCTTGAAATGGTAATAGACTACAGGCGTTTTAAGATGCATGGAATAGCTAACGCATTAGCTTTCCCAGACTATCATTAAAAAATACGACGTACTGCTTTTTTTAATAACTTTTTTTTTTTCATATTCCCCACTTACCAGCTTATTAGCCGTTTGGGCGGTTCATCCAGTGTTAATACAGGAGGAAACCAGGGACCGGAAACCCTGTGGTGTTTGGTAGGGTCACACTGGATGTACAACACGGTCTTCAGAAATAATAAAATTAGGAGAACTGTTATTTGGACACAATACGGAAAGAAATAGAGAAGAAAATATATAGAAAATTATGGAAAGAAAGACAAAAAGGGAAAAAAAAGTCAATCAATTAACAATAAATAAGAATAACACAAAAAATCTGGCCAGTTGTAAAGTTGGTTGGTCCGGACTCCGGAGTGGGAGCCTGAAACCACACTATCCAAAGACCATGTCTCTCGAGGCTAGGTATTCACATACTGTATTTATAAACGAAATACGGCGAATTTCAGGTTCGTTTAAACGAAATACGGCGAATTTCAGGTTCGTTTAAGTCTTAATTTTTGCACTTACAGAACTGTAATCAACTTGTTCACCTTTATTTAAAGTATCTTATGAGTAATGATATTAAGGTTTCAATCATATTTGGGTAATTATCAATATTATTACACCAAGGTCACTAACGGCAAATGAAATCAGACAGTGCCCACTTAAAAATGGGCGGAGCCAAAACTGGTTTCAACTAGATGCAATCCTTTTCAATTCTTTAACGCCATGCACTTTGCTTTCGGTCCTATCCAATATACCATTGTTTTTATTATTATATCACAGCTTTTTTTATTATCATACATGCTCCCAAGTCTTCAATATTAATCAAAATCTTCTCCATAAGCGGCCATGATCCGCGTATTTTCAGTGGGAGAAATCGCTGATTGGTTGTTAGCTATTTGGGCCGCTTGGGTGTTGCTCAAGGCTAACTCCTGATCGAGGTGTTAGCTTTTCCCTCTGAGCGTTCCATGCATACAACTCTAAAGCAGCATCTGCGCAGACAGAATAGCTAATGCGTTAGCTATTCCGTGCATCTGAAACGCCTTACAATAACCGCCTTACGTGAACCAAGGCTGCAGAACTTTTTCAATAAACCATTAATTATTAATATGGCAGATATTATGGAACCATTCAAAATCCTGAAAGGGATGGAAAATGTGAACCCAGGCCATTTCTTTGTGATGTCACACACCATCAACGAGAGGATATAACTATAAGCTCGCCAAGTTATCATGCAGAACGAACATAAGAAAATCATTTTTCACAGAGGTGATAGACCTATGGAATAATTTACCAGCCCAAGTTGTGGAATCAAGAACAGTACTGGGCTTCAAAAAATCCCTTGACAAAATCAGGAACAATGGAGGGGTCCTACACAAACCACTGGCCTCCTTGGCATGGTCACCTCTAGTGGGGGGCCATTAGGTAAATAGGTTAATTTCATCTGTGGTTTCATTTTTGGTTTCAGGGTTTTTTTTTTTAATTTAATACTGTACTGTATGTTAATTATGACAGTACAGTATGTGAAATGTGGATCAACAAATGTTAACTCGTCTTTCTGGCAGACGTATGGGGATGGTGTCTTTTGTGTTAATATTTACTAGAGCTCAGTGTGATGGTCTTTGGGACCTCCATCATCAGTCTTTCAGCATGATGCTTCTTACTACATGAAATATAATCATCTGAATTATACCAGATAGGGACCTGTATACTTGGCTGAAATGCATCAACTTCCACAGACTGTCCATTTAAAGTTTGAGAGAGGAAACTTTGTGGTCTAGAGATCATCCCAACCTTTGAGCCAGGTTGACTTTGCTCTTAGTAAATGGTTAACATAGTATTCTTTTTAACAGGGTACGTGGCTGCCGAAGAAGACTTCAATTGCCAGCCTTCTGGAAGTAAGTTTTAATTTTCTGGTTTCTTGGATTGATTAAATTTAATAACATTGTACAATATGTTAATTTTTGGTAATGTATTTCACAAGTCTTTTTGTCAATGTTCTGGTATGTGAGATAAATTAAAGATTGATCCTGTGTTTCCCAATCTACAGCAGTAGTTGGGCCAAGAAAACTCATATATTTTATAGATATTTTTTATTTTTTGCCTGGGGCAAAAATATAATAATAATAATAATAATAATAATAATAATAATAATAATAATAATAATAATAAAAATAAATAAAAAATAAAAATGATAACAAAATATTAAATAAAAATATAATACTGTATAATATAATAATAATTATAATAATAATAATAATAAAGTCCCATAAATAAAAAAAAAAATCAATAGTGAGAAATGATTACAGTATGTATTTTGTGTTGTTAAAGAAAGAGAAACAATTGAAACCCTGCAATTACATGTAAATGAGGCAGAAAGTCAGATCAGCAACCTGGGACTTGGTCCCAATTTTTGTGATGCCATATGGTAGCAGGGTCTACCATTAGACAACACATTATGCTTCCAATATCTTCCCAGGCGGTAGTCCCTCCCTGTTTGTTGCAACCTTGGCTAACTTCTGACACTGATGTTGGCACTCATGACACACTTAATACAATTAACTCTGGCTAACCCCTAATGCTGATGTGACACTACAGCTTATTTTTTAAATAGTATCACTTAAAAGTATAACTCTCCTGCTTAAAAAAGTTCTCAAGGTTAAGAAGTAATTGGGTCTTTGTGCCACAGACTTTTTTGCAATGAAGCTCTTCCTTGTCTGTCATTGGCAATTTCCATTAAACAAGCATCTGTCCAGCTGACCTTCATGAATATATTTTTTCACTCTGAAAATCTTGGATATCTTCTCACAAACATACTGAGTGTATCAGTAATAGAAGTGGAATTTTATGAGATTTCCAACAGTGACTTAGGAATTTTGATATGAGTAATAGTGGGAAGGGTCAGAGAGGAGTTAAAGGGACAAAAGCGACCTACCAGCAAGGCTGATGGGAGGAAACTGATGGACAGCACCCACCCACACCTTGGTACTTTCTGGAAGCTTTCCTTGCAATATACCAGGGTAATGCTTTCATCTATGACGCTAAAAAATTTATGCAATTATCTTGAAAATTCTTTGTGGGCAATTTTTTTTTTAATTTGATGTGATTCACGTCACTGACGCAAATAGTACAGCTACTCCCCAACTTACGACCTACTCGACTTACGACCGCCTCAGTCATGCCAAAATTTTGTCAAATTATGTATATTCGAGTCCCAGCGTCAGTGATTGCTCTTTGTACTGACAACATTTTCGTTTGTAATTCACTTTAAAATGGCTGGCAAGCTTAAAAGTGAGAGTTTTGTGGTGCTGAGAAGAAAAAGAGACACCCATTTTAGATTTTCTATGTATTATTTAAGCATTTTCGACTTTCGACCTGTATTTGGGTCCCTAACCCTGTCGTAAGTCGGGGAGCAGCTGTACTACCCAATGATTTGATGCAATTCATGTCAAGATATGCAAAAGGGATAATTAAATGTGTATAAAGAATAATGAGATCTACTTTTCTTATATGCCAAAAAGTAGGAGTCTCAATCTTAGAAAGGATTTAAACATCAGTCTAAGGCTAACCTAACTTAAGGAAGGTCCAAAGATGAAACTAGATCCCATTCTAGTTGATGCTGTAGCTGTCCAGATCAACACTTTCATGGAGACCAACTCTAGTTCTCCCTCGAGCAAGTTCCCAATGGATTTAAGGAACTTGAGAACAAGCTCTAAGGATCAAGAAACAAACAATTTTGTGGTTCAATTAAAAAACAAAAGAGGAAGTAAGCCATCTGGCACAGGGCTGAGACCATGGTTGAGAGCATAATGCCAACATTGTGAATGTACTGTGCAATACTTATACACCTTGACTCCTTACCTGTTTGAATCCTGAGACTGATATGTGGTCAAGAAGTAGGATCATCGCTCTGCAGAAGTGGCTTCTGTACAACATGATAGCTGTAGCTGTGGTGAAGGAGATATTACCATTGCCTGCATCTTGTCTGGAGTGAATTTCACCTATTAGTGGAGGCTCCATGTGTGCTTAGTTGTGACATGTTGAATGATGTGTCTGGCTACATGCTGAATGTTCCCATCTCTGTGAATGAGAATACAGTCACTTGCATAAGATCATACTTGTATTCATTGTTGAAACAGGTCAACTAAGAAAACATACCAGAGGATTGGACCAGGGATAGATCCCAGAGGCAATAATCCTCCTATTGTATGTCTGTCTGTCCATTTACAGTATGGCTGCTCTGATTCTTCCCCCTCACAGGTAGTTCTTGAAAAGCACTAGCAAGATGCTTCAAGATGCCCATTAGTAGTCAGGTGGTCCTGCAACAACCAGTGGGGGGGGGGGCAACCGCCTCGAGTGACATTCATTAGATTAACCGACCCATTTTTACTTTTTGATTTGGAGTTGTTCGTTCATTTCTTGGTGGTCATAAAATAGAGGGACAGTATACCTACTGCATGGATTATTTCTTTGTTTTTCAGGTGACACTATACACTGTTAATATCATGTAATAAATGAGTTTGCCTTACTCAAGGCTAGAAAAAAAATTGAATTAGCTCGTTGCAACAAAGAATGCTCCCCTGTAAGACAGCTATTATTTAGAAAACAAAGGAAATGTCTGGTTTACTGATTGAAAATTAACTATAAAAAAATAAAAGATATTTTATCTAATTCCAAGGCTTAAATATTTTTGTTTTCAAATTAGGCTTTGTGTTGACAGATATGTCGTGCATTCCTTTAAAATTGTAATACAGGCAGTTTAATGTTTCATGTTTTCTTCAGCACTTATGTTTTTAAAAGTGAGAGGTAAACATGTCAAAAATGCTAAACTTATTTTTATAAAGCAAATCAAAATGTGATTCAAAATCATAAAACTCAAAGAGAGGGCAAACAAAATTCCAGCTTTTCCAGTTAACACTTTGTGCTCTAGGCACTTTGATATTTTATACAGGCTAATGCCAGATGATTACTATGCATTTATTTAAAAAAATAATAAGCACTGAAAAGGTTAAAAACAAGTGAACAGGAGCATACCTGTATTATATACTGTATGTACTGTACTGCATACAGTATATAGAGGTATGGAAGGTGATCAGTGGTTATTAGTTACACAATTAAGTAGTTTCCTGTACCACAGCACCATAACAATTCTTACATCTTCACAGGTTAGCTTATACATTTATATTAGGTCCTTTCTAGATTTTGAATGCTTGTTAAACACCATTATAGGGATCAAAAATGCAGAAAAAACAATTGAATATCTATGGGTGCATTTGCCATGAATTCAAACTGTTATAATGTTGAAGTACTCATAGTGTTGTGGGCTATGACAGTGTTGTACAATGGAACAGTAAGTCCTAGAAATGTGCTTAGTCCTAGATTCAACAGGAAGATATTAAGGTTTTTATTGTATTATTTTTTTTTTTAACTCGAGCCACAGCATAGGGGTTGACATAGTTTAGAATGCTCGATTGCTAATATTGGACTGAAATAAAATACTGTATATGAAAGGTGTGTCATTACTTTGCTAATAAATTATGTCTTCATAGGCTTCCCAAAGACAGTATGCTACACCTCCAAGTGTGCAGTTGCTGTTAAGGGCCAAATACAACATGAACTGAATGCAGCCTTTGGGTACATGTATATGGTAAGAATAATATATATTGTAATGAATTGATGAGACAAGATCAGTACAATACAGTATAGTAGAGAAAAAAGTCAGAAAAGATGAGCAGATAACTTGTGATTTCAGAGCTTGCTAACTAGGATCATAAGAACTTTATGTTTTCAAGTCCCTCATAATCATACTGTAGACTATTCCTGCAGAGATAACTTTCCATCTATGTCTTGATTTATCATTCATAACAGAAAAGGTTATCGAAGTGATATAATAATAATAATAATAATAATTAACTGTTTATTGAAAGAGCATAGCAGCCAGAAGGCTGAAAATATACAGTTACATAATTGGGGAATGGGTTTCGATTTACAAATAATATACAAGTAACATAAGTGATACAAATAAGATATATAATAACTTCCGGGTAGTAGTGCAAGAAGTAGGATTTACTGGGAGTGAATACACTGGTTTATTACAAGTTATTGATAATTTTTACAATGGTTGGGACTGGGCTGTTCTTATAGCGATCAGTTCGTGCAAGTATGGGCTGGATGCGGTTGTGGTGTCGAACAGCAATTCTCGGGCTAGGGATCTCAGGTGGTAGTAGGAGCCGGTGTCGAGGATGGTGCAAAAGCTTCTTACCAAATTTGAAGATGAGGTCGTGGTGATGGTCAGTGAGAGTCGAAAGGGTCAGTGTGTTGAGCGCTTCTTGATATGTGGAGTAGGAAGGGGAGAGAATAATCTTGCATGCCCTCTTTTGCACTTTTTCTAGGTGTTTACGTTGTGTGGCATTTAGGGAGGAAGACCAGGTGGGGGAGGCATAGGTGAGCTTGGGAAGTGTGAATGTAAACACTGAGGAGCTCGGGTGCAGGAACTCCGAGGGACTTGAGTCGGCGGAGGAGGTGGAAACGGAAACTGGAGGACTTGACAACTTCACTGATGTGTGGTTTCCAATTTAGTTTGTTGTCTATGGTGACGCAGTGGAGCTTAGTGGAATCTACAACCTGGAGTGTGTTGGGACCTAAAGTAATGGAAAGGGGGTGGGACAACGTCGGAGGAGAGGTTGATGTGCATAACCAAGGTCTTGGTATGGTTGATGGTGACGTGGTTGTTGGTGGCCCAGTTTTGGAGACTGTTCAATAAATCCTGAAGGGCGGTATAGTCAGGAGCAGAATTGTTGACGCTGATCCCAACAGTGGAGTCGTCGACATATTTCCAGCGAGCAGGGGTTTCTCTTAGGGCATCATTGATAAGCATAAGGAAGCAGAGTGGTCCCATCTTGGTGCCTTGGGGCACGCCACAGGTGAGTGATTGAAAGGTGGAGACAGCCCCTCGGAAGCGTACAGCTTGGCGTCGGTCACTGAGGAAGTCTGTAAGCCATGGTATAAGACTTCTCCAAAGCCCGAGGTCAATAGCTTTGTTGATGATTAAATTGTGGTCGACTAGGTCAAATGCTTTAGTGAAATCAATGAAGGCGACAGCTACAGACGTTTTTCGTTTCTCGAGATGGCTGTATATGTAATCGAGAAAGCTGACAAGACAGTGAGTGGTGGAGGAAGTTTTCATATTGCCAAACTGCTGAGGGTCTACGACTCCTGTAATATCAGCATAAGCCCAGTTGAACACAAAACTTTCACAGATTAGGCTGGGTATTGGGGTGATTGCAATAGGTCGTAGCTGATTTAAGGATTGTGGGCTGGTTGACTTGGGCACTGGTGATACATAAGAGGTCTTCCAGTCAGTTGGGCATCTGGCTTGACTGAGAGAAGCATTGATGATGGAGCATAGGGGTTTAGTAAGCTCCGGGGAGAACTCCTGAAAGAGTTTCATTGGTAAGTCAATGGGGGTGGTAGTGCGTTTTAATTTTAGTTTGTCCAGACGTTTTGCAACTTCAAATTCTTCTACTAAGTCAGTGGGAAAGGGGGCTGGTAGGTAAGCAGGGAGAGTGGTTGTGTCAAGCTGGGTGAGCGTCTGGCATATAGGAGCGAAATGGTTATTTGATTGCTCAGCTGCGTCAACATTAGTGAGATGGCTAAGGAAGGGGAGGGGGTGTGTCATATTGTTTAGTCCACTGAGTTCTTTAAGCTTACCATACCATTGACTGATGTTGGACTGCTTCAGGTGTTGCAATTTGTTTGGGTAGTGAGACTTCTTTGCAGTACGTATTTCGCGGATGACTCGGTTGCGAAGGGACCTGTAGCGGATGTGGTCATTGAGATAAAAGGCTCTGTCTCTCTGTTGCATAAGTCTTTTGATCCAAGGTGTGATCCAGGACAAGTCAGCTGGGTGAGATCTGACGGACTTCTCGGGGAAGAAGTGGTGGTGAACTTCCATGGTGGTGTTGGTATAATTTTTCCATTTGGTTTCCACGTCATCCACCCTAAGTACTTCAGTCCAGGGATGGTGAACTCTCCACTGCCCAAAGAGGCGCACTGCAGAGTCAGTAATCGGCCTGTAGGTCTTGATGTAGGGTCTCTGTACTTGCGTGGGAGTGGCAGCTGGGGACCAGAGCACTGATAAGTGTGTGCTACACCCGATAGGAGGCATTGGTTGAGGTGGCTGGTACAGGTCCACTAAGTCAGTTAAGATAAGGTCAAGGGTATTTTGACCGTGTGTGGGGAAGTTCACAACTTGTGATAGTGACAGCTGGTCCTGGATATCAGTGGTGTCAATTTCATTATAATCCCCACATAATACTAACTTGGCACATGGGCACCTAACTCTGAGGTGGTAACGAGATATGGGTGTTATCCAGTGTGACCCTCACTACCAAACATCACAGGTTTCCCAGTCCCGTTTCCTCTTGTACTACTAACACTGGATAGACTAATCTCCCAAACGGCTAGCTGAGACGTGGCGAACCAAAGTTATTGTCCCCATGCACAAATCATGCCTGACTTGTTCTAATCATAGAAAATGGGGCATCTCTTCCTTTATATTTAGCCACACCTTTTAACATTTCAGGGAGGAGGGTGGATAAGTCGAATCAACAGCTCACCTCTGATATATAAGAGAGATTTCTGGATCAATCCCAATCCATGATGACAATGCTTTGTACATGTCTTGCAATTATAGAAGCCAGATAAATCATAGGAGAGAGGATTATTAATTTATTTAAGAAAAAAAGCTCTCTTAAGAAGTTAGGAAGCTAGAGATTATGTTAAGTAGCTACAGTAATAAGAAGTAAAGTAACCTTGTATACTTAACAGCTTCATGACCAGTTTGCTCCTTTTCCTCTTGCAATTAATGAGAGTTAAAGGTTTTGCAGACCTTCAGGAACCTCCATTATAATACTGCAATGTAACTTACATTCTTCTCAGTAAGGCTATGAAGTAACCCAGCTGGTCTTGAGTGCAAAGGCGAGGGGATGCACTTTGCTCTTGTTATGAGATATAGACTAGCAGAAAAGCTGCCACTTGATCTCAACTGAGCACTGACCCAAGAAATTATGGTTTATAACTGAAGCTAATGAAGGTTGTGGAGAGCACATACTAGTGTGATGGTTTGACTCTTTGCCTTCAACCTTGGTTGATGACTGCCATATTCCAAGTTCTCATTTAATTTTAAGATACCCCTATACAATATTCTGTAACAGAAAATTATTAATATCAAGGGTTATTTTTCGGCTTATAAATACTCTACTGTATAGTCAGTAGTACTGTATACGAGTCTCCTGATCCAGGCAAATACTGTTGTCTATTAAGACTCGTTTCTTTATAATACTTGTGTCTTGAAAAATGAGCAATCTTAATACTAATAAGCCAAGCATATTTTGTATATGGTTGTAGTAGTCAGTCATTAATTATTTCTTTGTTTATAGGGGGCATACTTTGCGCAGTACGCTGTGGATAGACCGGGTATTGCCAAATTTTTGCTGGAGTCTGCAACAGAGGAGCGAAGTCATGCCATTCAAATGTTGGACTACCTCAACACTCGTGGTATCAAGCTGAACATTCCTAATTACACATTTAATAATAATCAGGTTAGTTGTTCACTCCTTTATGTACTTTAAATATAATCTATTTTCAATTACAATTTTCAATTATCTCCTGGTTCTGATGTAACTCATATGGTACCTACAGTATTAATTTTTTGAAAGAATGAAGTCAAAGAGAGCAAGAGAGGTACTTACCTCATGCTTAGCTGGCAATGATCCACACTCGTAAACTCTGCTTCTAAAAGCCTGCTCTTTCCTCTCCTCACCAGCTCACCCTCATACACCAATAAACAGGTAGCCCTCGTTATCCAAATAGGTTAGGTTACTTGAAAACTATTTGGATAACGAATTACGGAACAAATGAGAAAGATAAGGTTGGCTTCCCCAACGATAAAACAAAACAAAACAATATTATACCTAAAAATAATGAAATTGGTGCAGGAACAAGAAAACCAAACCTACCTACTGTATGGTAATTTCTAAAATAAATACAGTTAAATATTGTCTAGTTGATACATTAAATACTTATGGGAGGGTAGTCAGGGCACCACCATAGGGATTGTTTTGAAATTGCGATCCGATCATTTTTTAGGTAAGCGAGGATCACTTTTAGATACAGTATAAAAAAAAAGGTGTAAGAATAAAATTTTCAGATTAATGAATTTTTGGATACCGAACATTCGGATAACGAAGGATACCTGTACTGTACTACCACTTCTTCATCCATGGGTGCTTCTTTACAATGAACCGGTCCCAGACTCCATTCATGGCCCCAGAACTAGCTAACACTGTTATATACTCCACCTAAGTCATAATAAGAAAATTGATGGTTATTACTTTCTTCATGTCTTTAATCCCCCTGCTCGATGTACAGGTGTATAGTAATGATTGATGCACTGGCAAGAACTGGAGCAATAGTATAGATGCCCCAACATCAAAATTGCAAGAAAATCTATTCTTGACCACGCTTCATCCACCAACATTTGAAGTACTGTATATTCTTACTGATGGGCTTTCAAGAGGTAGCCTCCTATCCTTGCATGAAATAATAGTATACATTTAGAATTCTTGCTACTAAGACTTCCTGTTCCTCCCCCTTCTGCTGTTTTCCAACACACCTTCAATGCTATTTATAAGCTTAAAACAGATGTCACCTCATATACCTTTAGCAGTCATAAATTCATCACTGTAGAATGGATGAAAGCAACTGAGTCTAGAGATACTTAAGTCTATAATTATGTGTGGAGGGGAGGGGAGGAGAGCCAGGGGCAAGCCAAGAATGACATGGAGGGAGATAAGAACCTGACAAGAGAGGCTGCAAGTGACTGCAGCATTGAAAGCTAGCTGCCAACAGGTAACTGTGGCTAAGCCAGGCAAGTGTGGAAAATGGCCATTGGTTATAGCTGTAGAGGAAGCAACACATGTAAAGAAATAGAAGTCAATTCTCTCAAATGCTGAATAAGTACTGTACTTCACAATGAAAACCTTTAATAAACTCTGTATTACTCTAAAAATACAGGGAAAAGGCAATTAAGAGCCATTATTACACAGTTGTGGTTGTCATCAAGGGCTATTCTGAGCCCATTTTCCAATGACTTAACCTCAACCAATTGTATTTACAAGACTGCAATTTGGACAACTAAAATACATGAAAACATCAATAACCCTGAGCCTGGCCACAGACTGTGTCAACATTTGAACACCCATAGCCTTCTACACAACATACTTCAATGTGTTGAATTCCTCACCTGCAGATCCTTGCTATCACATCATTCCTCACTGTAACAAAATATGATTAGATGTCCCTACTTTAATGTAATATATTTTATGTAATGCTCTACTCTTTCATTGTCTTTTTAATTCTTTATGTTTATTTACTTATTTATTTACAGTATATACTTATTCTTCTTTCTCTCTCGTTACACTCGTGAGAGGTGGAGAGGGTGAGGGAGGTAATTGTTTAAGGTTGCGGTTGGCTGGTGATATAGGCTTACAATTGGCCCTCCCACACACGCACCAGCCAGGGGAGACTCGGCCGGGAGGCTAGTTAGGGGAACTAAGCTACAATACTTCAGAGGGGAAATATAGGATAGTTATTATATATTTAGGACTCACTATATAACTGCATAATACCAAGACATATATAATACATCACTCTTTCTTAATAAGGGAGGGAAGAATTAGGACTCTTATTAACAGTTACTGTATTTATTGAATTAGGGTTTAACAGCTACACTTCAAAATAATGAACCAATCTTCCTAGCTAGTTAAACGGGGACCATGTATCTCACAACAAGTGGGAACTTGAGGATTTACCAAAAAGAATACACCAAAATACCTGCCATGTCGCCACCACAGACGTTCCAACACACTCTCTCCTATTCAAACTGAGTGAGCCCACAAGGGACGCCAAAACTTTCATGGTCACGCCTCATAGGCTTTCTCATTGGTCGAAGACAGGCCTAAGGCCTTCATACTATTGGCTTAAAATTGGCAGGAACTCTCAAGTGGCGGGAAACTCATGACATTGTTACATCACAGCCCAAATATAATTCCTTTGACAAACAGGCATATCACTTGATATTAATAGGTACACTTGCTCCAAAAAGTATCTTTATGGAGGGGTTCGAAGAATTTCAAAATGAACACCTTGACTCCTGTTGTCGTGGTAGGGTTGTCAAAATCCTTCGCCCATCGTGTCATATTGTCTGACAAAATTAAAATAATACTTTTTGGAGTGTATCTACCACACCTTATCACGAAGAGAAAACTACACATTTTCTCTTTATGAACACTTTGTTTTACCATTCACAGCAACCAAGTCTACCAAGGCAAGCATGAGCTTATCATAATTTTCCTTTTAGGTTCCTATATTGCTTTGCACATCACATTGTAAAGGATGCATGGGGTTGCTCAGTACAATCAACCCAGGTCTTGGTAAACAGACTATCATCCTCCTACTCTTATCCTTGTTATAGAAGGTGCAATCCATGTACCTAACCTGCAAATCACCAACTATTAAGGCTGTCTTAACCTTCAGTGTCCACCTTATCTACAGTACAGTATATCCCTCTTATGTCCAATTTGTCCCCAGTAAACTGAAAAGGTTTGAACAATTACCGGTAGCTGCTAAATGCTTTAGTCTTCTTAATCACAATTTCTGTTGCCCCCTCTTCTTGGCTTTTCACTGCTTGGCAGAATTGTCCAACCCAGACTCTCCAAGCCTCACATTCTCCTTCACCTGCTCAAACTCAGCCATCAGAGGCATAGGGCTATTCCCAGCAAGCAACAGACATGGCTACACCACTTGGATAATCCTGGAAACTAATTTGACACAATGTCTCCTCCAGTGAGGTCAGAAGCTTAGGGTAACATTAAAGTGATAGAGGAACAGGTGACAACTGTTGTTGAAAATTATTTTGATAATTTCAGAAGTGGATTTGGTTTTCTGGATGAATGTGTCAGACCGAGGGGGGGGAGGGGGGGGGGTGTTACTCTTTGGAGAGGACATTGAGCAAGGAGGTAATTTCAAGTAGATTTGAATAAGCTTATAATTTTCCTTTACTTCCTCTGAATGGTGAGAATTATAAGAGGTTAGTATTACTTTCTTTAAAGATAACTAAATAGCAACTCCTTAAAATGTCTTAGTAATGTGTCATACAATGTATTTGCCCTAAAATGTGCACTAATGTTTTTGTGACTTTCAGCTCAATACTTCATTTGTGGGAAAGACTCGACCTTACAAAGCAGCCTTAGAGCAAGCCCTTAATATGGAAATTGAGGTTAGTTGGACTTGTGAACTTGAACAAAAATAGATAAATTTTCATTATATCATAAGATTATTGAGTGAGGTCCAATGCCTTGTGATATTTACTGGTTTCATTGTTATGTATAATATAAATTATACACCAGATTTCACTTTTTTCGGACTCAGGTGCTCAGGACTGCCCCTCTATCCACCAGAAATATATTTTAAAAGTCCGGAAAATCCAGCATCACTCCAGATAGTTTGTGTTTGCATGTGCGGTTGAACGTCTGTTGTGGGTGTTGCATGGCATGTGTCTTATTCAGAATCCTGCCTTCATACGTATTGTATCAGTGTGCTGCACCTCGCTACCTACACTTATAATCATTTATGTGAACTTTGTATGTAGAGTACCGTACACATTGTCTTTATCGGGAATACTAGAGGGTTTTAAGAAATGGGTAAAATTAAAGAAATGCTTATGAAAAGAAAAACTTGCGAATTGAATATTGTACAGTGGTCTAATCCGATATGCTGTAGGCCTACCAAGAGCTAAGACACTGGTATGTAAACAGGTTGGGGGTGGCGAAGGGAACTGAACATTATCACATTTGCCAGGTTTATTTACTGATTCAATACTATTATATTCTATGATTGGCCTCTTATGGTGTTTGAGTCATCATAATTATCACAACATCTTCAATAACAGAAAAATACAATATAATTTGTATTTTTTCCCAAAAATAAATGAAATTATTCGAATTGGGAATGAATCCGAAATGAGATTGGTTTCGAAACATCACTTTGGTTGCCACATTAAATATTCTATTTATAATTACTGTGCAAACAAATGATTTTTAAATGTACAGTGAACCCTCACTTTACGCGGTCAATTCAACCCACGGCGGCCCACGTAAAGTGAGAAACGCGTAAAGTGAACAACATAACATATGGGATTAATTGAAATAGAGACCAGGCCGACCCCCAAACTCCACTTTTTCAGACACAATACCTACGTTGTAGTAAAAATAACTTCTTAATTTTATGATGGTATGCACACACAATTAATAATTAAGAGAAATATCAATATTAGGTTTTTTAACACTTACATTAGTAGAAAAGATGGCTGGGCACACGGGGATGGGGGGTTGGTTCCGAGGCAGAGGGCAGATTATTGGCCCTCACCTGTATCACTATCCACCACAGAGGCTTGCAGGACCTCTTTGTCAAACCTCTCAAAGTCCATATCCTCACTATCATTATCACTGACTTGGGCCGGTTGTGGTGGGTGAAGAACTCGGTAATGTTTTGATGACTGGGCGACCTTGTGCGCACCCTGCTCGCGCCGCTCTCCGTGTAAAAGGGTACACACACCGCGGGAAAGTGAGCATTCTGGTTTCGGCAGGGTACCGCGTAAACGTGTAGTGGGACCGCGTAAAGCGAGGGTTGACTGTACAGTACATACAGTAATAATAAAGTAAATTACACAGTAATAAATAGATGTAACACTTACATTGTGAGGTGAGCTGATATGTAAATACTGTACTGTATATAAATCTAGGGAGAACAATAGCATCCACTAAGCATGTCACACAGGCAGTAAACAATAAGGTGTTGTCAGACGTATGGGCATCCATAATGCAATAAGCATTTACGTACGTTTTTATTACAAATTGTATTAATTTTACTTACAGTAAATTATTATTACATTCCCCATAAAAAGTAGTCTGTGGCGACGCTAAAAACGACATTATATTGAGACGTTAACCAACTTTTTGGTATCTGAAGAGTAGCGACGTTTTAACGAAACGTTAAACGAGGACTTACTGTTTATAAATTATGTATATAACATCTATGGTCCTGAAAGAGCATAATTACCACATACCCTGTACTGTACTAACATTCATTAAGTGTCAATAATTCATTGAATTATTACATTTTCAGGTGACTAACTTGATATACAATGTGGTGAAAGAGTGTGGTGAAGACTACCATGGAGCCGATGTATTCACAAATCCCATCCTAGATGAGCAGCACAATGGTGTTCGCAAACTTCAGGGAGCTGTAAAAACCTATGCTGACCTGCATTTGAATCAGGAGAATGATGAGGCTGCTGCTGCTTTGGCAGAATATATCTTTGACCTCAAGATGTTGAATGGACAGTTTTAGTTAACATGAACTAAAAATGAATTCTCATGTTCATATAGATCAGCATGTGTTGAAGTCATGGCAGAAATTTTGCAAATTGCCACCATAAGAGTATTTTGTTTTTTAAACCTCACCCATACTGTACTGTAAACAAATTAACAACAATAAGGATATTGAAGTAATTGATAAAACTAATCTTATATAGAAGAACCTTCAAGTCATAAGCAATAGACTATGACCTTAATATCTCCTAATGCAACTGTAGTATTGTACTGCATAATTAAGATTTTATGGACAAGACAACTTTTAATAGTATACTGTATACCAAGATTTTATGCTGTTCAAGTTCATGTTACTATCCACATTTTACACTATTTTAATTTTGAATTTAGAGAGCAATTTAAATACTTGTGTGTATAACTTTAGGTTAATTATATATTAGATGAGATTCCAGTTTAGATAATATGTCGGAAATCACAGGTTTCTTCATGGTACTCATGCTTCCCCTTTATTCACACTGGACAGTAAAGGTCATAACATAGAACAGACCAATATGCTCGTGGGGCTATTAATTTGATAAGGGATGGAAAGGATAAATTTGAATCTAGTTTGTTACTATTCTCTGTAGTTACAACATTATTATGTTAATTAGATTATTAATTAAATTTACTGTTATTCATATAATAGTTTACCATGGTGCATAATAAAGACTAACAGTTTGAATAGCTTTAGTGAAAACGAAAGTACTGTATACAAGTACAGTAAATAATTCAAGTGACCCACCATATATTAATTTATGATGAAAAAAAAATATATAGTTGAAGTATCATGAGAGCACTTTGTCTCAGCCTAATAAAAACACTGATGATGCTATCCTGCCAACCATATTCCAATCCACTGATTCCCAAAGGGCATATAACATCCTGGCCCCTGTAGATAACTCGAAGGACATAGGCATCTTGACAGACCGAGAGAGAGACTCATACAGACATTGCGAATTATAAAACCGATGAAAAACACATATCCTAATCAATTTGTCTAATGTCAAGTGCTTCAAACACAAGTGGTCATAGTTTCCAGTTCCCTACATTGTAATGCAAAATGAAAATAAGCTGTAGACAATAAGCCAAGACAAAACTTAAGAATGATGGAGGATCCCACACAGGCCATCATCTTTCCCCCAAAGTGGTCACTTATAGTTGCAATGGCCATGAGGATATTAACATTCAAGGTTAGAAAGACTTGGAGCTTTTAAATACTGTAGTCACTTTAGCTAACCAATTTCCATTTCCAATTGATCATAGAAAATAGCCAACCAAAATACAATGGCCTTTCCTGTTGTACTCCACTGGGAGGAAGTGAAAATCTGAGCTTCCTACTACAGTACAGTATAAAAAGCAATTTAAGGATCAATCCCTCCCTTATGATCAACAGGTTTTGTAATACCTGTACCCGCAATCCAGGATACAGGTCTTATTAATCATGAAACGAGAAGTTAATCAAAAGGCATGTGACTAAAGTCGCTGTAAAGAAATAAGATTAAAGCTACAGTTTCAAAGGGGTCACTTATGTTCTCTATTGCAGCATAACTGATACTGACAAATGGAAGCATCAACTGGTGGTCAGCTTTGTATGTCACTGCCGAGATTCCAATCATCAGCGGTCTTGTATCCTGTCTCGGCCTGAGAGCACCTTATAATGGCCAATAGTTCTGTGATCAGGAGCCAGTTAGGGTGTGACTATATTTGGCAGGATGTTTACAAGACAAACTTAAAGGTCATTATTAGATGTGGTTTGTTAAGGTGTTTATTACGTAATATTCTGCACTAAAATTGTAAGAATACGTGATCATACACGTATGATCTCTTAAAGTTGCTTAAGCTTTGGGAAGCAATTTACACTGACATTACAGGCAAGATGATGTACTTAAATGCATAAAGATGAAATCATTTGAAGGATTGCATATGAGTATGGAATTAATTAAAGCACAATACAATTGTACAAGTAGAGCACCGACCTTGAAATCCTATTTTACATCAGAAAGCAAGACCTAATGACTTTTGATTTTCTGTAAAGTTATGACAGACAAACTTAATGTTAAGCACTTTGTCTATGGATGACATAAGTTCATGAACGTTTCACCGTATGCCGGTATCAGTGCAAGCATTTTATTCCTTGCAATGAAAACTTTACCAAAACACTTCAAACATGCATTTTGATTGAAAATTTTAAATCTGATCACTTTCCTCATTTTATGTATACAGAACTGTACTTGCAGTCAGTACTGATGAGCTACAGTCACTAGTGCCACCACCCTGCATCCTCTATCAGCCTACAAGGGCATCTGACAGGGACCTGAAGTTTTCTGGTGAAATTCCACTTTGCAGTCTCAACCTACCAAAACCCATTTAAACTCAGACTACCACTATAAAACTCCCTGCCTCAAAAGTATTTTTCCCTGCTACATAACCTCCACCAGTAAAATCCTAAACATCCTCAATCTTTGGCAAATGAAAAGGTTTCATAACACTTGCCTGTTGGCTTCCTCCTGTGATTTCTATTTGTAAAAATAAATAAATAAAGTGGCACAATGGATAGGAAAAACTAAAACACATTTTAATTTACATGTATCAAACAAAGCAATTTAATTTGACATCAACCTTTCCAAATTTCATTTATATGATGCTGCATCAATAGGCAGCAGGTACAGATAGATACAAAGAGTGGATAAAAAAATGTATCTACCTCTCTATCTTACCCGAGAGAAATATTGAAGGCAATAAAGACTAGACTCACCTGTCTAGCATCAAAGACAATTACCAGTCTGCCAGGACCCAAACATACATTTGACCAATTTCATCTGAACATACCAAGGGGTTAAAATTCCAACAGACATCTTCTGCAGTGACAAAGCAATATTAAATTTATATGAACCACTGTCTGATTACCATATACAAAAATTACTATGCTCCATATTTCTGTTTGTTAGTCCTAGTTACGGCACAGTTAAACCAACATGAAATACAGCTTCCTAAGAACTAATTTTCTAGCACCTTCATTGGCACCATCTAGACATCACCAAGATGTTGAGGTGTGGCGGATTGGTGAGGCAAAATAAATTAGAGTGATCAATGCAAATTTCATCTTTTCACTTAAGGTAAAACAGAAGAGAGGTAACAAAAAAATTCTATGACCAGTTTCAATTTCTGGGCCCTTCTGTAAATTACATTCAGATAATGTAGGAACAACAGGTAATTAGTAACAATTGACATCACAAAGCTGAGCCTACAAAATGGGTGTCTACTTGTCTATCTCACCCGAGAGATGCTGTTGAAACCGAGGAATAGTTTTATTTTTACAGTGAAGACACTTGCAAGTCTGACGCTACTGAAGCAAGTTTATTTCTCGATTTAATTATAATTGACCGAGAGGTTATGCCTTAAAATTTCCTTCCTGCATACTGTACTATCTACTGCTATGGTTCATATTATTTCAATAGTTAGTCCTAGTTACGGCACAGTCATACCAACTGAAGGAATACTGCTTCCTAAGAACTAATTTTCTAGCCCCTCCATTGGCACCATCTAGACATCACAAAGATGTTGAGGTGTGGCAGATTGGTGAGGCAAAATAAAATGGTTCTGTGCTAAATTTGTATTTTACATGTGACAAAACAGAAGGGGATGGCATGAACGTGACACAAAATGTCTGACACGAGACTTCAGTTTTTAATTAGGCGACACCTTAGCCAAATTCCATTTTGATGATGTAGCACCAACAGGGAGTGAATAACAAGTGATATCACATAGGTAGGCCTTCAAAAAGTGAATCAGCTTCTCTTAACTGAGGGATGCACCATTGGAAATATTAGAGCAGCTTCATCTTTATTCCAACACACCCAATCAGATATTTGCCTGGTTTCAACACCTCAGATTATGCCGTCAATACCACTTCCTGCAAACAAGAGTAATTTAATATAAGTATTGACTACTGCTATGGTTGATAATTCATGTTTTTAAGTCCTAATTAAGGCTCTGGTACACCAACGGTTGGAAAGGTGCTTGGGAAGAATTTAGCACTTTCCCTAGCATCATATAAACATCATAAATGCTTTAACAGTGTGAATGGTGGACGTGACCAAACCGTTAATTTGACGGCTTAACATATTGTGAAAGAGAGATGATTGAAATGTGTTAAGACTAAAGCTTTTATTTGATATTATACTTTGCTTATACCTTGTAAAAAAAATTTCCATCTTGGCAATACTGTACATCAACATATAGTGAGTAACAACTGACATCAATGAAATATATTTTTGCCTTTCCAGCTTGACACCTGAGAATTTCACAGCATCCAACCACATTTTCACCCAATTTCATTACCAGATCTCACCAAATATTTACATTTTCCATCACCTATAAAATTACTAATATAAAATCAGTCTCAGGCACTTTATAAAGATCTTCTGCCAAGTTATATATTATATGTTATAAATCCTTGTTATGGTAAAGTTAAACCAATCAATGGAATACAGCTCCCAAATGATTAATTTTCTTGCCCCTTCACTAACATCAACTTGACAAACAAGGGAGATGGATGGGTCATAATAAATGCCCTTATTTATACAGTTTACAATTACATATTTTACAACAGAAAGGACTGTAAAATATTTAATACCAAACCACTTAGAAGTTGAAATTATATTTAGGTGGTTGATACCTCCTCCAAATTCCACCATGGTGGTGATATACCAAGACATTGTGAAATTGAAATTACAGCAAGTCCTCGTTTAACATTGCCCCCAACAACATTGTTTTGTTATAACGTCGCTACTCTTTAGATACCAATGATTCAGACAATGTCCCGTCAATCCAGTATAAGGTCTTCAAGGACTACCTTGTACGGCGCATCACCCTCTCTCACACCAGTTAGAGCAGGAGGAGGAGCCACCCTCCGGGTCTCAGTGACTCACCACCCTCCACCTCCTCTCCACTACCCATCCACACACACGCCCTACATCCGCCCATCAGTAAATACAATACAAAATGATTTAGTTTATTTATCTTTTGGGATGTATAATACATACTATTTTCTATAAAAAATTCCATTGAATTTGTGTATATGTAATGTTTTTTATGGGGCAAAAGGAGGCTGGGGAACGTAACTCCCGTATTTTATCTACACCTTATGGGGAAAATTGATTCCGTTAATGTTCGCAGTTTTCAGGAAGGGAACCACAACGTTAACCAAGGACATACTGTACATATACAGTCAGTCCTCGACTTACGACGGTTAGGGACCGACGACCAGGTCGTAAGTCAAAAATAATACATAGAAAATCTAAAATGGATGTCTCTTTCTTCTCAGCACCACAAAAACTCTCACATTTACACTTGCCAGCCATATTAAAGGGAATTACAAACAAAAATTTTGTCGGTAGTAGTGACTCGGTACACACAGCGATCACTAACGTCGGGACTCAAATACGTAATTTGAAAAATATTTTATACGACTGCGGCGGTCATATGCCGAATAGGTCGAAAGTCGAGGAGTACCTGTGTATCTCATTTGACAGAATTATTATGGATATAGAAAACGAGATTCACCTTTTCAGCTTAAAGAAACAAAGGTCTAAAAGTATCAAGAGCATTAATTTCCCAAATAAAATGTAGCCTAACCAAGGGTGTACATTTTTTAAACTTCTTTAAACACCAAGCAATATAAAATTAATACAAACCACATTCCAATTATCTACAACGATCTATATTTCATGTTTGTTAGTCCTAGTTACGGCACAGTCATACCAACTGATGGAATACTGCTTCCTAAGAACTAATTTTCTAGCCCCTCCATTGACACCATCTAGACATCACCAAGATGTTGAGGTGTGGTGGATTGGTGAGGCAAAATAAAAAGGAGTTATCAATGCATATTTCATCTTTTCATTTAAGGTAAAACAGAAGAGATGTTTCAATTTGTGGACACTTTTGAAAATTACATTTAGAAATGAGTAACAATCAACATCACAAAGCTAGGCATACAGAAAGGTGTCTACTCTCTATCTCACCTGAGACACTGTTGAAACTGATGACTAGTTCTCTCTTTACAGCCAAGACACTTGAGAATCTGATGCTACTGAAGCAAGTTTGTTTTCTTTCAGTAATTGGCTGAAAGGTTATGCCTTAAAATTTTCTTCCTGCAAACAAGAAAATATACAATTAATATTGACTACATGCATACTTTACTGTCTACTGTTATGGTTTACACAGGACACTTTTTAAAGTCCTAATTACAGTAAACCCTGAACATCGCATGGGTTAAGTTAATGAAAACCCCGGGAAGTTCACCCATGAGAAGCCCAAATTGCCAGAAAACGAAGAAAATTCACTCCAGGTGTTTGAAATACAAACATCAAAATGGAAAGAACAGTTAGTGTCAAGCAACAAAGTTCACTATAAAGCAATAAAAATATGCTTAGTAAAATAAATATGCACACTAGCTGTAAATGATGGAGGATTTCTTTTGCTCTAGTCTGTCAACAATTGCACTGGTAGCAACTCTAGCCAGGCTAGCACCACCACTTGCACCTGCAGCACTGTCACCATATACAGTCGCAGACAAAAGTTCTCTCCCACTCCCTACCACAATGTGACTTCGAAATATCCTAGGTTTGAACAACGAAGCAGCAGAAGAAGTGCCTTTTTGACCCAAATAGTTGGGAGAACCATCTAGGAAACAAAGAAAAATAGTCACAATTGGTAGATATTTGAGCCAGATGGCATCATAAAGAGAAGATTCAAGATCCGTGCATCGAGCTATAGAACGGAAAGAGGTATAAAAGTTGTAGTTGGAGACTTGAAAAGGTTTGGGTGAAGCTGCTTTGTTCAGTTGAAGCTCAGATAATAGTAACAGATTGGGGGAAGAGGTTAATAGATGGTGCTCCACAGAATAAATATTGGATCTCAGACTGCGAATGTTGGGAAAATGGTGTGAAAAAAACCGATCCTCCAGCAACTGCAGTGAAGTCAGTTGTGGCCCCAGTTATGGCGGTTGATATCTTCAATCCAGCTTATTTATAACAGGGTCTCTAAGATAGTGTGAAGATGGCAGTAGTTGTAACATTCAGGGCAACACACACATGAATCTCCTTTATGTAGTGAATGCTGGACTCGTTCATGGCGACCACAGGCAGCATAGCTCATACCAATCTTCAACCTATCAAGTAGCTCCACCTTCTCCACCATAGGCGGGACCTTCCTTAGAATCCTTACATTGGTAGGAATGCCAATAAACCCTCCAGCAGGTGCAGGAGGTTTACGAGACAAGGCGAGGGAGTAGGGAAAGAGGGTGCGGATACGTAAGCAACAAAGTTCTTCGAGGGCTGGCAGTGTGTGTAACAGTGAGGGCGAGGAAGCATGGAACTCCCCCGTACCACTGCAGACCCCTCATGGCTAGTAGTGGAAACTGTCACACGTGACACACAACATCCCTCCCCAAGCAGCCCATAATGCAATCCACAGAGTGGCAAGGGATGAGATGTTCAAACCCACAATGTTTAAGGATTACTATTTAGTTTGGGTAGACTAATTTTAGGGACAATGTTTGGGAGGAATTTTCTAGCACTTTCCCTGGCACAATCTAAACATAAACAAAATGGTGTAGTGAGGTGAAAGAAAGGAGCAAAATTTTTTTCTTAAAAACCTTCTTTAGAGACAGTGTTACTAAATTAGTACAAACCACATTCCAATTATCTACAACGATCTATATTTCATGTTTGTTAGTCCTAGTTACGGCACAGTCATACCAACTGATGGAATACTGCTTCCTAAGAACTAATTTTCTAGCCCCTCCATTGGCACCATCTAGACATCACCAAGATGTTGAGGTGTGGCGGATTGGTGAGGCAAAATAAAAAGGAGTTATCAATGCATATTTCATCTTTTCATTTAAGGTAAAACAGAAGAGATGTTTCAATTTGTGGACACTTTTGAAAATTACATTTAGAAATGAGTAACAATCAACATCACTAAGCTAGGCATACATAAAGGTGTCTACTCTCTATCTCACCTGAGACACTGTTGAAACTGATGACTAGTTCTCTCTTTACAGCCAAGACACTTGAGAATCTGATACTACTGAAGCAAGTTTGTTTTCTTGAAAGTAATTGGCTGAAAGGTTATGCCTTAAAATTTTCTTCCTGCAAACAAGAAAATATACAATTAATATTGACTACATGCATACTTTACTGTCTACTGTTATGGTTTACACATGACCCTTTTTAAAGTCCTAATTACAATAAACCCTGAACATCGCATGGGTTAAGTTAATGAAAACCCCGGGAAATTCACCCATGAGAAGCCCAAATTGCCAGAAAACGAAGGAAATCCACTCCAGGTGTTTGAAATACAAACATCAAAATGGAAAGAACAGTTAGTGTTAAGCAACAAAGTTCACTATAAAGCAATAAAAATATGCTTAGTAAAATAAATATGCACACTAGCTGTAAATGATGATTTCTTTTGCTCTTGTGTCAACAATTGCACTGGTAGCAACTCTAGCCAGGCTAGCACCACCACTTGCACCTGCAGCACTGTCACCATATACAGTCGCAGACAAAAGTTCTCTCCCACTCCCTACCACAATGTGACTTCGAAATATCCTAGGTTTGAACAACGAAGCAGCAGAAGGAAGTGCCTTTTTGACCCAAATAGTTGGGAGAACCGTCTAGGAAACAAAGAAAAATAGTCACAATTGGTAGAGATATTTTGAGCCAGATGGCATCATAAAGAGAAGATTCAAGATCCGTGCGTCGAGCTATAGAACGGAAAGAGGTATAAAAGTTGTAGTTGGAGACTTGAAAAGGTTTGGGTGAAGCTGCTTTGTTCAGTTGAAGCTCAGATAATAGTAACAGATTGGGGGAAGAGGTTAATAGATGGTGCTCCACAGAATAAATATTGGATCTCAGACTGAGAATGTTGGGAAAATGGTGTGAAAAAAACCGATCCTCCAGCAACCGCGGTGAAGTCAGTTGTGGCCCCAGTTATGGCGGTTGATATCTTCAATCCAGCTTATTTATAACAGGGTCTCTAAGATAGTGTGAAGATGGCAGTAGTTGTAACATTCAGGGCAACACACACATGAATCTCCTTTATGTAGTGAATGCTGGACTCGTTCATGGCGACCACAGGCAGCATAGCTCATACCAATCTTCAACCTATCAAGTAGCTCCACCTTCTCCACCATAGGCGGGACCTTCCTTAGAATCCTTACATTGGTAGGAATGCCAATAAACCCTCCAGCAGGTGCAGGAGGTTTACGAGACAAGGCGAGGGAGTAGGGAAAGAGGGTGCGGATACGTAAGCAACAAAGTTCTTCGAGGGCTGGCAGTGTGTGTAACAGTGAGGGCGAGGAAGCATGGAACTCCCCCGTACCACTGCAGACCCCTCATGGCTAGTAGTGGAAACTGTCACACGTGACACACAACATCCCTCCCCAAGCAGCCCATAATGCAATCCACAGAGTGGCAAGGGATGAGATGTTCAAACCCACAATGTTTAAGGATTACTATTTAGTTTGGGTAGACTAATTTTAGGGACAATGTTTGGGAGGAATTTTCTAGCACTTTCCCTGGCACAATCTAAACATAAACAAAATGGTGTAGTGAGGTGAAAGAAAGGAGCAAAATTTTTTTCTTAAAAACCTTCTTTAGAGACAGTGTTACTAAATTAGTACAAACCACATTCCAATTATCTACAACGATCTATATTTCATGTTTGTTAGTCCTAGTTACGGCACAGTCATACCAACTGATGGAATACTGCTTCCTAAGAACTAATTTTCTAGCCCCTCCATTGGCACCATCTAGACATCACCAAGATGTTGAGGTGTGGCGGATTGGTGAGGCAAAATAAAAAGGAGTTATCAATGCATATTTCATCTTTTCATTTAAGGTAAAACAGAAGAGATGTTTCAATTTGTGGACACTTTTGAAAATTACATTTAGAAATGAGTAACAATCAACATCACTAAGCTAGGCATACATAAAGGTGTCTACTCTCTATCTCACCTGAGACACTGTTGAAACTGATGACTAGTTCTCTCTTTACAGCCAAGACACTTGAGAATCTGATACTACTGAAGCAAGTTTGTTTTCTTGAAAGTAATTGGCTGAAAGGTTATGCCTTAAAATTTTCTTCCTGCAAACAAGAAAATATACAATTAATATTGACTACATGCATACTTTACTGTCTACTGTTATGGTTTACACATGACCCTTTTTAAAGTCCTAATTACAATAAACCCTGAACATCGCATGGGTTAAGTTAATGAAAACCCCGGGAAATTCACCCATGAGAAGCCCAAATTGCCAGAAAACGAAGAAAATCCACTCCAGGTGTTTGAAATACAAACATCAAAATGGAAAGAACAGTTAGTGTTAAGCAACAAAGTTCACTATAAAGCAATAAAAATATGCTTAGTAAAATAAATATGCACACTAGCTGTAAATGATGATTTCTTTTGCTCGTCTGTCAACAATTGCACCGGTAGCAACTCTAGCCAGGCTAGCACCACCACTTGCACCTGCAGCACTGTCACCATATACAGTCGCAGACAAAAGTTCTCTCCCACTCCCTACCACAATGTGACTTCGAAATATCCTAGGTTTGAACAACGAAGCAGCAGAAGGAAGTGCCTTTTTGACCCAAATAGTTGGGAGAACCGTCTAGGAAACAAAGAAAAATAGTCACAATTGGTAGAGATATTTTGAGCCAGATGGCATCATAAAGAGAAGATTCAAGATCCGTGCGTCGAGCTATAGAACGGAAAGAGGTATAAAAGTTGTAGTTGGAGACTTGAAAAGGTTTGGGTGAAGCTGCTTTGTTCAGTTGAAGCTCAGATAATAGTAACAGATTGGGGGAAGAGGTTAATAGATGGTGCTCCACAGAATAAATATTGGATCTCAGACTGCGAATGTTGGGAAAATGATGTGAAAAAAACCGATCCTCCAGCAACCGCGGTGAAGTCAGTTGTGGCCCCAGTTATGGCGGTTGATATCTTCAATCCAGCTTATTTATAACAGGGTCTCTAAGATAGTGTGAAGATGGCAGTAGTTGTAACATTCAGGGCAACACACACATGAATCTCCTTTATGTAGTGAATGCTGGACTCGTTCATGGCGACCACAGGCAGCATAGCTCATACCAATCTTCAACCTATCAAGTAGCTCCACCTTCTCCACCATAGGCGGGACCTTCCTTAGAATCCTTACATTGGTAGGAATGCCAATAAACCCTCCAGCAGGTGCAGGAGGTTTACGAGACAAGGCGAGGGAGTAGGGAAAGAGGGTGCGGATACGTAAGCAACAAAGTTCTTCGAGGGCTGGCAGTGTGTGTAACAGTGAGGGCGAGGAAGCATGGAACTCCCCCGTACCACTGCAGACCCCTCATGGCTAGTAGTGGAAACTGTCACACGTGACACACAACATCCCTCCCCAAGCAGCCCATAATGCAATCCACAGAGTGGCAAGGGATGAGATGTTCAAACCCACAATGTTTAAGGATTACTATTTAGTTTGGGTAGACTAATTTTAGGGACAATGTTTGGGAGGAATTTTCTAGCACTTTCCCTGGCACAATCTAAACATAAACAAAATGGTGTAGTGAGGTGAAAGAAAGGAGCAAAATTTTTTTCTTAAAAACCTTCTTTAGAGACAGTGTTACTAAATTAGTACAAACCACATTCCAATTATCTACAACGATCTATATTTCATGTTTGTTAGTCCTAGTTACGGCACAGTCATACCAACTGATGGAATACTGCTTCCTAAGAACTAATTTTCTAGCCCCTCCATTGGCACCATCTAGACATCACCAAGATGTTGAGGTGTGGCGGATTGGTGAGGCAAAATAAAAAGGAGTTATCAATGCATATTTCATCTTTTCATTTAAGGTAAAACAGAAGAGATGTTTCAATTTGTGGACACTTTTGAAAATTACATTTAGAAATGAGTAACAATCAACATCACTAAGCTAGGCATACATAAAGGTGTCTACTCTCTATCTCACCTGAGACACTGTTGAAACTGATGACTAGTTCTCTCTTTACAGCCAAGACACTTGAGAATCTGATACTACTGAAGCAAGTTTGTTTTCTTGAAAATAATTGGCTGAAAGGTTATGCCTTAAAATTTTCTTCCTGCAAACAAGAAAATATACAATTAATATTGACTACATGCATACTTTACTGTCTACTGTTATGGTTTACACATGACCCTTTTTAAAGTCCTAATTACAATAAACCCTGAACATCGCATGGGTTAAGTTAATGAAAACCCCGGGAAATTCACCCATGAGAAGCCCAAATTGCCAGAAAACGAAGAAAATCCACTCCAGGTGTTTGAAATACAAACATCAAAATGGAAAGAACAGTTAGTGTTAAGCAACAAAGTTCACTATAAAGCAATAAAAATATGCTTAGTAAAATAAATATGCACACTAGCTGTAAATGATGATTTCTTTTGCTCGTCTGTCAACAATTGCACCGGTAGCAACTCTAGCCAGGCTAGCACCACCACTTGCACCTGCAGCACTGTCACCATATACAGTCGCAGACAAAAGTTCTCTCCCACTCCCTACCACAATGTGACTTCGAAATATCCTAGGTTTGAACAACGAAGCAGCAGAAGGAAGTGCCTTTTTGACCCAAATAGTTGGGAGAACCGTCTAGGAAACAAAGAAAAATAGTCACAATTGGTAGAGATATTTTGAGCCAGATGGCATCATAAAGAGAAGATTCAAGATCCGTGCGTCGAGCTATAGAACGGAAAGAGGTATAAAAGTTGTAGTTGGAGACTTGAAAAGGTTTGGGTGAAGCTGCTTTGTTCAGTTGAAGCTCAGATAATAGTAACAGATTGGGGGAAGAGGTTAATAGATGGTGCTCCACAGAATAAATATTGGATCTCAGACTGAGAATGTTGGGAAAATGGTGTGAAAAAAACCGATCCTCCAGCAACCGCGGTGAAGTCAGTTGTGGCCCCAGTTATGGCGGTTGATATCTTCAATCCAGCTTATTTATAACAGGGTCTCTAAGATAGTGTGAAGATGGCAGTAGTTGTAACATTCAGGGCAACACACACATGAATCTCCTTTATGTAGTGAATGCTGGACTCGTTCATGGCGACCACAGGCAGCATAGCTCATACCAATCTTCAACCTATCAAGTAGCTCCACCTTCTCCACCATAGTCGGGACCTTCCTTAGAATCCTTACATTAGTAGGAATGCCAATAAACCCTCCAAAAGGTGCAGGAGGTTTACGAGACAAGGCGAGGGAGGACGATAAGAGGGTGCGGATACGTAAGCAACAAAGTTCTTCGAGGGCTGGCAGTGTGTGTAACAGTGAGGGCGAGGAAGCATGGAACTCCCCCGTATCACTGCAGACCCCTCATGGCTAGTAGTGGAAACTGTCACACGTGACACACAACATCCCTCCCCAAGCAGCCCATAATGCAATCCACAGAGGGGGAAGGGATGAGATGTTCAAACCCACATGTTTAAGGATTACTATTTAGTTTGGGTAGACCAATTTTAGGGACAATGTTTGGGAGGAATTTTCTAGCACTTTCCCTGGCACAATCTAAACAAACAAAATGGTGTAGTGAGGTGAAAGAAAGGAGCAAAATTTTTTCTTAAAAACCTTCTTTAGAGACAGTGTTACTAAATTAGTACAAACCACATTCCAATTATCTACAACGATCTATATTTCATGTTTGTTAGTCCTAGTTACGGCACAGTCATACCAACTGATGGAATACTGCTTCCTAAGAACTAATTTTCTAGCCCCTCCATTGGCACCATCTGGACATCACCAAGATGTTGAGGTGTGGCGGATTGGTGAGGCAAAATAGAATGGAGTTATCAATGCATATTTCATCTTTTCACTTAAGGTAAAACAGAAGAGATAGCATTAAAAAAGTCTAAGATTATGTTCAGTTTCAATTTGTGGATACTTCTCTATATTACATTCTGATTACATAGTAACAATAGGTAACAATTGACATCACAAAGCTGGGCCTACAAATTGGGTGTCTACTTCTCTAGCTCACCTGAGAGAGAGAGTTGAAAATGAGGACTAGTTTCATCTTCACAGCCAAGACACCCTTGAGTCGGACACTACGCAGGCTTATTTTTATCCCCAATTTCATAATAGGCAAAGAGGTTTTATATGCTTCCCATTCCACATCCTGCAAACAAGAGAATATACGATTACTAGTGTATACAGTGGGCTCTCGGTTAACGAACACAATTTGTTCCACAGTCGTTCATTAACCGAATCTATTATTTCAATGGGATATTGGGTAATTGGTTCCAACTCACAGAAAAAGTACATACAAAGTACTGTATACCAGTAAATAGAATTAACAGAACATTAAATATAAACTAAATACAGTATGTACTGTACTGTACATTATACTGTACAATAATAAATGAAAAACAATAGAATACTGTATTTTAACTTACTTTGAGGTGTATATGTCATATTCCCGGCAGCTTTGTTTACATATCAAACAGCTGATTGTAGAGGCAGTCGATGATGACATGCCATATTCTTTACAGGGTGCATTGGTTCTAATGCTTTCTTCATGTTTCATAATAATTTCTGCACTGTAAATTATCAATATGTTAACTGAATTTCAGAATGACCAATAATTTTAATGTAAAAATACAAAAATATTTAAGAGACCAACAAACTCGGTGTTTACTCCGCTGTAAACAAAGTTAAACTGTGACACGTTGTTGGGTGATTCAATCAGTGATTGGCGCACAAAAACTGTTCCCTGTACTGTATATATTATCAATATGTTAACTAAATTTCAGAATGACCAATAATTTTAATATAAAAAATGCAGAAATATTCAAGAGACCAACTTTTTTTATATTTACTTCACTGGAAACGAATGTAAACATAGAACCAATTACTGTATTGGCAGACTAGCCGATCAGATGATGCAATCAACAAAATGTTTGTCGTAAGGATTTCATTAATGGAACTGAAAATCCTTAAGGAAAGCTAATCCGTAAACCAAAATTTCGTTAATCGAACAGTTTATTAACCGAGGGACCACTGTACATACATACTGTCTACTGCTATAGTTTATATTTCATGTTAAGGTCTAATTATGGCTTGGGTACATCAAATGCTTGGGAGGAATTTCCTGGTTCTTTCATTGGCACAATCTATATATCAAATATGATATAGTGAGGTGAAATAATGAGGCAAAATATATATTTTTAAAATTAACATTCCACATGTTGTAAAAAAGAGAAGAATGGGGCATGTTTAGAACTACAGCTCTTTATTACTGTATTTAATATCACAATTAGTTTACAATTTGCTGATATCTTGCAAAAAACTCTCTTGGTAGTAGAACATCAACAAATACATGTACAGGTTGACAATCCCTTATCCGAAATCCTTGGGGCCAGAGGCATTTTGGATTTCGGAATTTTTCGGTTTTCAGAATGGTTAGGGTTTTTTTTTTTTAAATGTGTATTAGCCCACCCGGACATAGATCACTGACCCACATTAGGGCCTGGGGGGCGAAAATATAATAATAATAATAATAATAATAATAATAATAATAATAATAATAATAATAATAATAATAATAATAATAATTCATAGGTCTAGGTCATGTTTCTCACTTTTGATCTTTTTTTCATTCTTTTATTTCTTTATTATTATTATTATTTTATTATTACAGTATTATTGCTATTATTATCAAATCTATTATTATTATTTTATTTTAGTGTATTTTTATTAAAATTCTTATTTACTATGAATAATTATTATTACTATTACATTTTCGCCCCCATGCCCTGATGTGGGTCAGTGATCTATGCCCAGATGGGCTAAACCCTGTTATAAAAAAAAAAAAATCCCCCCCAAAAAACTTTCGGTTTTCAGAGCTTTTCGGTTTTCGGATAAAGGGTTGTCAACCTGTAGTAAGAAACAAATGAACACCTTAGCCCCAAAATTTTGGCTCCATTTCTCTGTAAATAGAGGAAAGGATTATTGTTGGCCATGATGACTACAGTGCATTTTTTTTCCAGCTGAAAAAAGATGCCCCACCCCCTCCTCAAGAGTTACAGCTGATTGGCTGTTACAAACCTGTCCAATTTTGTCCTGAAGTAATGAAGTTCAGTATTTCTAAACGAGTTTATTCATAATTGTTGGGATGACCGTTTCTGACGAGAAAGACATTTATCTAAATTATATAAAGATGTATACAGCGAACCCTCACTTTACGCGGTCAATTGAACCCACGGCGGCCTGCGTAAAGCGAGAAACGCGTTAAGCGAACAACATAGCATATAGGATTAATTGAAATAGAGACCGGGCCGACCCCCAAACTCCACTTTTTCAGACACAATACCTACGTTGTAGTAAAAATACTTTCTTAATTTTATGATGGTATGCACACACAATCAATAATATTAGGGTTTTTAACACTTACATTAGTAGAAAAAATGGCTGGGCACACGGGATGGGGGGTTGGTTCCGAGGCAGAGGGCAGATTATTGGCCCTCACCTGTATCACTTGTATCACTATCCACCACAGAGGCTTGCAGGGCCTCTTTGTCAAACCCCTCAAAGTCCATATAAGTCCATATCCTCACTATCATTATCACTATCATTGACTTGGGCCGGCTGTGGTGGGTGGCGGGTGAAGAACTCGGTAATGTTTTGATGACTGGGCGACCTTGTGCGCACCCTGCCCGTGCCGCTCTCCGCGTAAAAAGAGTACATGCACCGCGTAAAGTGAGCATTCTGTGTTCGGCAGGGTACAATGTAAACGTGGAAACACGTAAAGTGAAACCGCGTAAAGCGGGGTTTTACTGTACATTCATTATTTCAAACATAAGCATGTAGGAAGTTTATCAGAAGTATTAGACATGAATTAACTATTAAACTCGGGTAGCAAATTCACGCTTTCGGAGGATGCATTTAATATACTGTATACTTATTTTTTTCCACAAGAAGGCACACTAAGACAAATTTTGTATCAGTAATACTACATTATGCAAAAACAACATTTTAAAAGATCAGTATCACATTGAAATATTACATGACCATTAGCAGAGGCTGGAAAAAATGTGAAGTTGTTTGCAGTCATATTTCCCGCCTCTGGTAACGTCCATGTAATATTTCAATGTGATTCTGATCTATTAAAATTTTGTTTTTGCATAATGTAGTATTAGTGATACAGGTCAATGACCCATATCAGGGTCTGGTGGGGAGGAGGATATTATTATTATTATTATTATTATTATTATTATTATAATAATTAATAATAACTGAAAAATATTAAATAAAAATATAATACAATAATTATAAACAATAAAGGACCCTAAATAAATACAAAAAATATAAATATAAATAAATTAATAGTGAGAAATGATATATGTATGTTGTATTGTCAAAGTAAGAGAAACAATTGAAACCCTGCAATGTGTGTAAATGAGGCAGAAAGTCAGCTCAGCAACCATTATTCTTCACGTTTGTTAGTCTTAGCTATGGTACAAATGAACCAACTGTTGGAATATTTACTCCTAAGGAAGAATTTTCAATCCCCTTCACAAGCACCATCTAAACAGGGTATCAAGAAATGTTATGCTGTGACATGCAGTATGCTGTAAATGGGTTAATATAAACTTCATTTTTTTTAAACTTTTTGGCACCTTATGAGATAAAAAATGGTTGATTGGGTTGTCATTAATATGACTAAATTTAAAACTAAACATTTATTTAAGCTTTTGGTTCTGTTACATCAACAGGTAGTTAGGACTAACTGCTCTATCTCACCTGAAAGAAGCATTGAGGGTAATGATGACTGCCTTCAGTTTGGACACTTGCCAGTCCATCAAAATCAAAGCACCAATTTCACCACCACTAACTGAGGTTGTTTTCAGGCGACAACTGCAGAGACAGTGTTACTAAATTAGTACAAACCACATTCTAATTATCTACAACAATCTATATTTCATGTTTGTTAGTCCTAGTTACGGCACAGTCATACCAACTGATGGAATACTGCTTCCTAAGAACTAATTTTCTAGCCCCTCCATTGGCACCATCTAGACATCACAAAGATGTTGAGGTGTGGCGGATTGGTGAGGCAAAATAAAATGGAGTTATCAATGCATATTTCATCTTTTCACTTAAAGTAAAACAGAAGAGATAGCATTAAAAAAGTCTAAGATTATATTCAGTTTCAATTTGTGGACACTTCTCTATATTACATTCTGATAATATAGCAACAACAGGTAACAATTGACATCACAAAGCTGGGCCTACAAAATGGGTGTCTACTTCTCTAGCTCACCTGAGATATGTACTGTTGAAAATTACCACTAGCTTTATCATAATTGCAGAGACACTTGTGAGTCTGACACTACCCAAGCCTTTTTCTTTTCCCATTTTCAATATAATTGGTTCAGAAGTTATGATTTCCATTTCTCCTCCTGTAAACAAGAGGAAGATGAAATTATTATTGACTACAGGCATATTGTCTATAACTATGGTGCATATTTCAGGTTTGTAAATCCTAATTATGGCTCTGGTATATGAAATGCTAGAACAATGCTCAGGAGAGATTTTTTATCACTTTCCCTGGTGTTATAAAATTGGTACAGGATACAAGTACGGCAGCCGTATGCAAAATGTAAGTGTTTATTGGTACAGCAGCCTAATGCGCACACGTGGTGAACGGACTATACAATGATAGTTACTGTACTAAGCTGGCCTTCTTTCTGACTAACCTAACCTAACCAATAACAGTCTGTCAGTTGTGATTTTTGGTGTACGGCTGCCACCTACATCAACTACACATGAAATTACTCACAGATACTGGATCTGTATTGACGGATTGTGTGGTTAATGGTACAGCAGAGATTCGGGCATGTGCAAAACGTGGAGCTTCCTTCTAATGTTAGTAATTGTCATTGTATAGTCTGCCCATGCATGTGTATTAGGCTTCCATACCAATAGATATTTTGCATACAGCTACCATACACAGTAACTTGTGCGATAAAATTATGAGGGAGGGACTAGGTCAGTTTATAGTAGAGGACATAATGATGATTTCAGACAAAAACAAGACGACTTTCTTCTTTGGCACTTTGGTTCATTTTACCCATAACCAAGACATCAGATGAAAATCAGAAAAGTACTAAAAAAAATACTATTGCATTTGTTGCAACCAACCAAATCTTGGAAATTTTATCTTTGCTCGCTTTTCTTGTAGTCTGATTTTCCACTCTCGATATCAGTAAAGATTTACTTTTGGAAAACACAGAAATGTTAGGAATTTTATCTTTGCTGCAATTAATAGTTTGGACAATTCTAAGACAATTTTCTTCTATGACACTTCCTTTGCAAATGACCTAAAAATTACCTAACCTAACCTCCTAACCAGAGGCTTAACCCCCCAGCATATACAGTACTGTATTAGTAATTTGTGAGGGAATGTCAAACAAGAAAAGTGTCTTAAAATTATCTAACTATTAATTGCAAAGATAAAATGGTAATCCTGGAGCAATTGTTAACACCAGAACACGTTCGATTTCGTTCATTTTTTCCAGATGTTCTTTGGATGATAGTAAGTACTGTAATAAAAATTATACAATGCAGCACAGAACCTATTAAAACCTGACCTGACCTAATTTCCTAGCCGGGGAGAGGGGCATATTAAACAGAACGTACACTTGAAGCAGCATAGTGTAATTTTACGTTATTTGTGGACATGAATACACTCAGCCCGAGTGACTTGGTTGTTGCACTGAAACAAAGTGCGGACAACAAAATGCGCCGACAAGGCAGGTTTTTTTGTTGGAATATTTCTGGTATATAATTTTTTTTTGCCTATAAAGCAAGTACAGACATCATTTTAGGGTACAGTATTATTATTGTTTCGGTCATGCAGCGAATTTCAGGATTTTAAATTTAGGTTGGTTAGGTTTGGTCATGTTGAAATTATGTTTTCTGATGGTTTTGAACAACTTCCAAATAGGTGCACGACTGAAACAATAGTTTTATCCATTTTAGTGTCATATGATAGGTTTTGACCATGTTATACCCTGCAATATCCCTCATCCTTCATACCCTGACCAGAACAGGTGATTTATAATAATAGAGAGAACTAAATAAAACATATACCTGGTAATTAAAATAATAAGTTGTCATATCGTTTTTATTATTTTCTATCATCTAAAGGACATCTGTGGAAAAAGGTAATTATTGACTAACTCGCGGCAGATTGTTTTTAGAAAAAGGTTTATAAAACCACCGAAATTTCACTGTTTTATAGTGGACACTGTCATAGTCTGTGAAAATGTGTTAAAAAGTTATTTCTAAATTAAACCTAACTTAGCCTTTGTTGATATGAAAAACAAGCAGCAAAATCATTGTTAGATCTCACCAACCTAACCCCAAAAAACATACCTAACCTAACCTAATGAAGCCCCCAAGACCCTCCTGTATATTAAACAGAAAGAACTTACTACGATATGGTGTAATTTTAAGTTTTTTTGTGGACGTGAGAGCAGCTGTCCGTATCGTACGAGTCTTAAGCATACACTGAGCGTTGGTGTTGATCAAGCCCGAGTGGTGGAATGTTTTGAAATACGTCAATGTAATTGACTGTTTACAACCTGGGGTGAGATGTCACCGCCGCATTACCGCTAAGAATACAAAGTAGTAAGTGTCTAGGCACCTAATTATCTACCAAATGAAGCATTTGCACAAGAAATTATGGTTAATAGTATTTTCATCAGTGGATTCTGATATGATCATTTCTTGTGCAAATGCTGTTTTGTAGGTAAATAGGCACCTAAGGTGACATACTTTGTCTTCCAGGGGGTAACGCAGCTGCGTTCTTTGCTGCACTCACCTCTCATTTCCAAACCACTTTATTTTCAGCGTGATGTGGCATGTGAAGGTTCTTGTCAGCCTTGTGCTACAGGTCTAGTGCTTATAAAGGAACTTGACTTGAAAATGGCAAGATTAAACCAAGTAATGTACAGTACTTTTATTTATAAGCATCCTTCTTAAAAAGTAATTTTCACAGCAATACTGTGAAAATGTACTGGGTTTGTGTGCAAAGTCTGCTTGATAATACGTATTTCAAAACACTACGCCGCCCAGGCTGGAACAAAACCGATGCGCTCACATGCACAAAAAAAAATTAAAATTACACCATATCATCGCAAGTTCTTTCTGCTTAATATATCGGGGTGATCGGGTAAAGAAGTTAGGTAAGGTTAGGTAGGTTTGTTTGGTGAGGTATGTTTTTCATACCCACTAAGGTAAGGTTAGGTTAAGTTTAATTTCGAAAAAACATTTCAACACATTTGCACAAGCCAAAACAATGTCTACAATAAAAAAAAAGTGAAATTACGGTATTTTTAAAAACGATTTCTATGAAAAGTCGGCCGCGGCTCAGTCGTCAATAATTACCGAAATGATTATCATAAGAACATAACATAAGAATGGAGGAAACTGCAGCGGGCCTATTGGCCCATACTGGGCAGTCCCATTTACACCCAACCCCTATTGCTCATATAAGCATCCAACCTATGTTTGAAGCTATTCAGCGTATTCGAGTTAATGATGATATTTGGTAACTTGTTCCATTCATCCACTACTCTGTTTCCAAACCAGTGTTTACCTATTTCGCGCCTAAATCTAAATTTATCTAATTTAAAACCATTGTTACGAGTTCGCTCCTGGTTGGATAGTTTGAGTACCTTTGTAATGTCCCCTTTGTTTAGCCCTGACTTCCATTTATACACCTCTATCAGGTCGCCCCTCACTCTACGTCTCTCGAGGGAGTGCATATCATATCATGGTAAATATTCGTCCATTGGCTGTTCTCAGGTTTTGGTATGAGAATAGGTTTTCTTTGTCGTTTTTCGGTGTTTTACTCAAATCTGACCTTCATTTCTTGTGCAAATTACAATTTTTTGCAAGAAATTGACATTTTAATTTTTTAACAAACAATTTGCACAAAAAGAGAGGTCAGATTTAAGTAAAACAAACCAAAAAAAAGCAAAAGAAAACCTATTATCATATCAAAAGTACTAACCTACCTAACCTAACCTAACTTAACTTACAAGGAGGAGGAAAGGAAGAGACAATTGACTTTGAGGAGTATAACCTCAGGTAAACTTGGCGGGAACCTGTGGACAGCCAATGGACGAATATTAACCTAAGTATATTATTACTTTCGGACATGAGTCCATAGGGGTTATGAAATAAGTTTTTCCAGTGTATTTTGGTGTGTTTTAAACGAATCTGACCATTTCTGGCGGAAGTTTATCGTTTCCCCCCCCCCCCCAAATCGATAATGGGGGAGATCCATAGATACATCATTGGTCACGACTGGATGACGTCAATCCATAACGAACTCTATTTCACGTCGATAACATCACCCCAGAGGAAGACTGAAGTACATAAAATCAATTAAAATTCAATTGTGTCGCTATTATCTATTTCCACCTGGTATATATGGGGTTCAAAATGCTCAGAATAGGAAGATCTATGACCTAACTGCTTGTAGTATCTTAGTTGCCGATTGGTTAAATCCAACTGCTTACCATGTTTACCGGCACTGAACATGAACTTATGACTATCCATCTAAGCCCTGTTGATAAATTAATACATATAGAATGCTGACAATCTATTAACTGTGAAAATATTCTTATACTACAACACTCAAGATGATCCACGTGGGAGATCTTACCACAGCCATTCATTATTTAAATACTTTTCTGTGGATGGCATGGCCGTTTCTGGAAGATCCACAGCAGAACGTTCGGTTAATATTCGTCCATTGGCTGTCCGCAGGTTCCCGCCATGATGTGGTGTAATTTGAAGCTTTTTCTGAAATCTGGGCGTGAGTTAATGAGGCAGGCGGTCCTGCAGCCCACGCGGCGGCAGAGCGACTTACTGTAATGGCGGGCGGCGGCTGGTGGGGTGAAGAGCGCCACAGCAGAACGTGGCCTTTACCGCCGGGAATAGAAACTAGTGCCCGTCTCGGCGCCTAATTATCTACAAAAAGAAACATTTGCACATTATATATATATATATATATAAACAAGTTCACTTTCCTTCATGATTTTAATGTCACCTTTTCCTCTTTTGTGTACGTACCTGGTTTATTCATATTTGACCACAATTATTTCACACTGTCAAAGTTTAATGAAATTTCATTTACTCGTTATTAAGACTTGTGACGTACCGTTATTCACTCTGCCCTGTTATATTCAATTACAGTACTGAAATAACATGCATTTTTTTTAAATTTACTGGTACAACCTATAGATTTTGTACTGCGCATATCATTGTCATTCCTAAAAAAACAACTTTAATTCATATTACGCTACATAACATTCAAATCCACCGCGCTTGTAGAATCTCAGAAAACGGGAAACATTGATAAAGACTAACTCACCTAATGAATGTTACGGAATTATTTGATGAATTGTACCCAACTACGGGTATATAATGTTAATGGTATGTACTCATAGCATACCTATAGGATGGTTGGGAAGGTCAAATTGATACAGACTAGTGTACACTCACACCAAAAAGTATTGGTGCAGGGTGAGATCGACGAGTTCCGAAACGATACGTATACACTGTGATATGTCGGGAAGGTTGGTAAGTGTGTCCTCATTACTCCCCCCCCCCCCACCAAATCCACTAGGTGTTGCCATATGGCTGACAATCAGGGCTGCCAACATACGGCCGGAACAACTCGCCTTTCCCAATACCTATCGTCACTGGTCTCAAATTGTTCACACTACAGTATGCACCGATACTTTTTGTTGCGAGTGTACATATTTCCCAACGGGATGAAGAAACTGCACTAGTTGAGACTGTATGTGATAAGGACCTAGGTGAGTATGTTGACAATGAGCTGAAGTTCTCGGGCCATTGCGAGAAGAAGGTAAATCAGGCAAATAAATTATTGGTTCTTATAAGAAGGTCGTTCAGATATCTAGATTCTAAACGGTCCGTCCCTCGTAACGATCTTCAGGAGTGAAGTGCTTCCCCATCTGGAGTACTGTCACCCCGTCTGGTCCCCGAGATATGCTAGGAAGTCAGTTGGTTGAAAATGTTCAAAGGAGGGCCACCAGACTGATGCCTGCACTTCGCCACCTCAGCTACCCTGAGAGATTGGAGAGCCTGAACTTGCCTAGCTTATACTACAGACGGGCAAGGGGGGACCTAGTTGAGGTGTATAAGCATCTCAGAGGGCACTACTCAGTTGAATGTCCTTACTTGGAACTGGCGGACGCTCGCCCCACAAGGGGTCACAGCTCAAAATTGAAGAAGCCGCAAGTCCAGAAAACTGTGAGGGCAAACTTTTTCGGAGTGAGGGTTGTAAACTCTTGGAACAATCTACCAGAGAGTGTTGTGACGGCACCGAGTGTGAGCTCTTTCAAGACAAGACTTGACCAACACTGGAGCGGGTTCAGGTACATTCAGGAGCCAGTGCATGCCCAGTATTTGCCAACAGTGCGTGACAGAGACGTGACCGATCGCCCGGGCGGCTAGCGAGCCGATCAGTGGCGAAGAGGATAAAAGTAAAAAAGGGATAAGTGTAGATCGTGTCTGGAGGTCATACTATTTACGTCTGTGAACGATTAGTGAACATAACTACTGCAGGTGTCAGATGAAAATACAAGAGAACAATGATCTGGAAAAAGGATAAATGTATCAGAACTATGTGAAGTGTTGGAAGTGATCCAAAAACTATGCTTCAAAGAGAATATCTTGTATACCCACGCCATGAAAATACTACGCTAGGCTTTGTTCGGGTTGGCGCCTGGGCCGCCTCGGGCGCGTTGATATTATAACCCAATTAATTTCCCTAGGAACTGTCAACCCTGAGCCGTACTTTAGTATGTAATGTTGGATGAAAATATGTATTTATACGGCATAAGGTAACAATAAACAGGAAAGTGTTATTGTGAGAACCATAGAACTCAAAGTGAAAATTAGAGATTGGACACTGTAGGCTGAGAGTGAGAGGAGCGCAGGGGCATCAGCTTAGTCGCACCTACTCCTTCACCAACACAGGTCAGTGAACTTCATCGGGCTATATTCAGCCCTAAAACAAGACTTATATAGCAGTTATTACAGCTTTAAACTTTACCTGATGTATAAAGTGAAATAGTAATGTGTTAGGGTGTGTGATAACGGCCCAGCAGGCATTATTTCTTAGTCGTCCCTACTCCTTCACCAACACAGGTCCCACGCACGCTCTGAACTCACCAGAACGGCGGCCATTACCCCCGTGAGCGTCCCACCATGTGAGATAACTACTCCCAGTTATGCTACTCCATTGTGAACCTGTGGATTCCCGGCATGCCACCACACATGAGTAGGAATACATAATGGAATGCTTGAAAAACTCCGCGGTCGTCACTTGGAGCTACCTATAATACCAGGCGTAGAAACAGTACTGGTATGTCTCTTGGTAAAGCCCTCGTCTCTACCCACCGAGGGCGGTATGCGAACGAGGTGCCTGATATAAGAACATAAGAACATAAGAATGGAGGAAACTGCAGCGGGCCTATTGGCCCATACTGGGCAGTCCCGTTTACACCCAACCCCTATTGCTCATATAAGCATCCAATCTATGTTTGAAGCTATTCAGCGTATTCGAGTTAATGATGATATTTGGTAACTTGTTCCATTCATCCACAACTCTGTTTCCAAACCAGTGTTTACCTATTTCACGCATAAATCTAAATTTTTCTAATTTAAAACCATTGTTACGAGTTCGCTCCTGGTTGGATAATTTGAGTACCTTTGTAATGTCCCCTTTGTTTAGCCCTGACTTCCACTTATACACCTCTATCAGGTCGCCCCTCGCTCTACGTCTCTCGAGGGAGTGCAATTTAAGATGCTTTAACCTGTCTCTATACTCAAGGTTCCTAATGCCCGGGATTAGTCTTGTCATTCTCCTCTGAATTCTTTCCAATGATTCTATATCCATTCTGTAATACGGTGACCAGAACTGAACTGCGTAATCCAGGTGTGGTCTCACAAGAGCAAGATACAGTTTTAGGACGACCTCGCTAGTCTTGTAACTAACACTCCTTTGTATGAACCCAAGTACTTTATTAGCCTTGTTACGAGCAAAAACACATTGTTTACTTGGCTTAAGGTTCTTACTTATCATTACTCCTAAATCTCTCTCGCAGTCGGATTTCTCTATGGCATCGTTGTTCATCTGGTATCTGGTTTCCCTGTTTACATCTCCTATACTGAGTACTTTACATTTGTCCACGTTGAATTTCATCTGCCATTTTTCAGACCATTCGAAAAATTTGTTTAGATCTTCCTGTAGTTTTGTGGAGTCCTCGTCAGATTTAACAACACGTCCTATTTTAGTGCCATCAGCAAATTTACTTATGTTGCTGTCTATGCCGATATCTATGTCGTTTATGTATATAATAAATAATAATGGTCCAAGTACTGAGCCTTGGGGAACTCCACTTTTGACTTTGCTCCAATGTGGCTTAGTGCCGTTAATGCTCACTCGCTGTTTCCTGTCCTGTAACCACACCCTAATCCATTTAAGGATGTCACCTTTGATGCCATGAGCTTCTACCTTTCTAATTAGTCTTTCGTGGGGGACTCTTTCGAAGGCTTTGCTAAAGTCGAGATATACCACATCATAATTGTGCCCCTCGTCCACCGATTCGAAAACTGATGAAAAGAATGTTAATAGATTAGTTAGACAAGAACGTCCGCTTGTGAAGCCATGCTGGGAATCATTGATCAATCGGTGCTTCTCCAGGTGATTTCGAATAGAGTTTGAAATGATTGCTTCCAGTAATTTGCCTACTATCGATGTTAGACTGATTGGGCGGTAGTTAGAGGATAGTGACCTATCCCCCTTTTTGAAAATCGGTATTACATTCGCTATCCTCCAGGATTCTGGTACTACACCTGTTTTTAAGGACATGTTAAACAACTTTGCTAAGGGCATACTAAGCTCTTCCTTACATTCCTTTAATACTCTGGCAAATATCTCATCGGGACCAGGTGACTTATTAGGCTTTAGTTTGTCTATTTGCTTACTAACATCGTTACTAGTCACTACTATCTCGCTTAATTTGTTTTCTTCACTATCTCTGAATAGAGTCGGTGCCTCGGGTATCATGCTTAACTTTTCGGTGGTGAAAACTGTTGAAAAATATTTATTAAAATTATTGCTCATTTTTCCGTCGTTATCAGTGAGCTCGCCGGTATTTGACCGTATTGGTCCAATCTTTTCTCATGTTTTAGTTTGATACATTTGGTAGAATCCTTTGGGGTTTGTCTTCACCTCCCTTGCTATCCTTACCTCATTATTCCTCTTGGCTTTCCTTATCTCGGTTTTAACCCTACTCGCCAATATCTTATAATAATCCTGGAGGTAAATTTCGCCACGCTTTATCCTTCTACCTATAGCCTTCCTTTGGCCAATGATGTTCTTTAAATAATTATTTATCCATTTAGGGTCATTGTTGTCTGATCTGAGTTTTTTGTATGGTATGTTCTGCCTTTGTGCATTAAGTAACTCATTATTTAAATTGTCGTGGAACTCGGCAGTCTCATCGTTATCAGGTCGGAGTCATCTGTCAGGTTCACGGCCAAGCGCGACACCCCCTCTCTCAGCTGCCTCTTTAAACTGTCAAAGTTTGCCCTTCTGAAATCTGGTACTTTAGTGGAATTTTCCTTACGTCTGCCCTGAAAATCTAACTGGAATCGAATTTCTTTGTGATCGCTGTTTGCAAGTTCGTTCCCTACCTCGACATTGCTAATGAGGTTTTCTCTGTTCGACAGAACTAAATCGAGTATATTATTACCCCGTGTGGGTTTGGTTATATGTTGACTTAGGAAACAGTCCTGGATCGTTTCGTGGAAATCCTCTGATACTGAGTTACCTGTAAGGTCAGTCCAATCTATTTGGCCAAGGTTAAAATCGCCTACTATACAGACTTTGTTGTGTATGGAAGCCCTGCGCATTTCATCCCAGGTAAGTCGCTCATTAACTCTATCAAGATTGGGAGGTCTATATATTACTCCTATGATTAATTTTTCCCTACCGTCGATTATTTCTATCCAAATTGTTTTTGTATTCCGCTCAGTTTTTATTTCCTTATTTATTTCGCACTTCAGATTATCACTGACATAGATGGTGACTCCGTCTCCTTTCCTGGACGGCCTATCAGTATGGAACAATTTGTAATCCGCAATTTGGTATTCGACAGGTAACTCACGTGAGTCTAGGTTGATCCATGTTTCAGTGAATGCTATTATATCGATCTTTTCGGTACATACCAAGGCCCTAATATCATCCATTTTGTTTCTCATGCTTCTACTGTTCGCGTAGTAGACATTTAAGTTAGTCGTGTTCTGAGTCCTCCCTTTACCGCGTTTAGGTTTAAATTCCGTGTCTAATTTAGTTTTGTCATCATTCCTAACACTATTTCCCTGTAATCTTTCACTTGGCTTACCCGCTCCCACTGCAGTTTCCCCCACCCCCGTGCCCACATGTTCCCCTAGCAGTTTAAAGACTTCGATATCCTTTGAACTGTCCCCTCTAGAGACCCAGCCAGGGTTGCCACCCCATCCCGAGCATAAAGATCCCTTCTGCCGTAGTTGTCACAGTTGTCAATGAATGGGACCGATATTGACTTGCAATATCTGTCCTTCTAGGCAGGACACCGCATATGATCGGGATCCCTCCCTTAGACCTAATACGATCTATAGCTGCCTTGAACTTATCAAGAAGCTCCTCGCTCCTACACCGTCCAATATCATTGCCTCCTGCATTGAGGCAGATAATGGGTTTGTTCCCATTACCAAACGAGATATTGTCCATCCTGTCAATTATATCCCCCACCCCAGCTCCTGGCAAACACATCCTCATCCTATTTTTGTTTTTACCACAAAAGGCCCTGTCCATGTACCTTACCTGTGAGTCACCAACAATTAAAGTTTTTATACCTTCCTTGTCAGCCCTGTCCCTGACTGTACTAACGTCCAATTCATCTATCAAGGGACTGAACGGGTTGGTACACTTAGCTGTTGTTGTCGTTTCCTTGGTGTACTTCTTCCCCACCAGCTTGGTCTTCCCACTACTCACAACCTTCCACTCGCTTGAGTTTTCGTCAGACACTGGCTTTCCCTGTCCAGCCTCCCCTTTTAACCTCGCCAGCTCTTCCTTTAATTTCAGGTTCTCCAACGTGGCCCTCTCAATTTCTTCCTTGGCCCTCGCCAATTCTTCCATGGACCACTCCAGTTTGGTCAACAAACTCACATACCCAAGACCACACATAGCACTGGCCATATCTGATAATTATCCCTCGGGAGCTAACCCTGCCGTGACCTTTCCCCTAGTGAGGTCAGAACACAAACTTGTGTGCCTAGAAATCACAAGGAGCCCCATACTTGCAGGTGTGGAGTATAACCGGTGGGTGGTGTGATGTTACAAGGTGGTGAGATGGTGCTATAATGTATAATAACCTAAGGTGCTATATTCCAAACAGGTGGAGCGGTCTGATGTGTTGGGTATTACGGTAAGAAGGGATGACCGAGGTAAGGAGGTCACTGATTGTTATGAGCAATAAGTGTATGGATAACACGCAATTAATGTAAGACGTCTGTTGGTGAGCAGTGTAACTAGAATCATTATTGTTCTTCTGAGGAAGGCCAACGCTTCTTGTACTTTGAAGGAATGCAATATGTTTTAGAAGGAATAAATTAGTTAAAACATGTTATTGTTTCACCCTTCTTTCCCTTATCGATTTGGTCAATGAAGAACACAACCCAATGCCTAGTTCACTCTGCCCGCTACCTAACGAGCTACATACTGCCCAGAGGGGGTCTGGTGGCAGCAACCTTTAAAATTAAGACTATACCTGTAGTTAAGTTATCCTCCTTAGAATTAGTGACCCCAGAATCAGGCAGTACAATGTTACTGACCTCACAGTTAGGAATGACAAAACAAAATTCGTAACTTAAATATTCACGAATATAGAGTAATAATTTGAGGGAAGTTATTAATGCCTGTAGAAAAATATATTTTTTATCATTATTTACTAAAATCTAGAGAATAAAGTAATTCCTCTTGATTAAAATAATTATGTATGTACTATAAAGGTTGACGCCTTGCGAACTTGTCCATTCGTCTGTCTATTCATTTATCAATCATTCTATGTGTCTGTCTATCTATTACTGTCAGTATCTTTATCTATCTATCCATCTATCCGTCTGTCTGTCTGTCTGTCTTTCTATCCATCGATCTAATTATCCATCACTCTATGGATGTACCAGATACCTTTTTAAGTTAAGAATATACACCTAGAACACACATACCTTTACTCAAAATATATACATACAATATACACTAATGAATACGATACATACAGTATGTACTTTGTTATACATCTGAATTGTTAAAATAAAATAAAAAAATAATGAAAATTGCAGCTCTTGATCACCTGTAATTCTTTTATGAGCTCATCTGTCACTTATGCACTTATGAGGTGTAGTGAATGCTCGCGCACACATATGTGCAAGTGATATTTAGGAGATATTCTAAGGTCAATAGTAATTACTTTTTATTATACAAAAAATGCCTGAGTACAATATTGCATTTAAGAAAAAGTACAGTATTGGAATTTTCTGATAAAAAGGGAGGGGGTCCGGACCCTCCCCTGCATAAGTACAAATATACATTCAATGACAAGGACGAATACATGTGAATATACATACACATACAAGAACACAAGATATACTACAGATTGACTAGTAACTCAATTATAATGAATCCAAAGACTGGTCCACACACCGTCTACTGACGAGTAATGTGACTTATAACAAGCCTTGATTTTTGTCTGTAGTGAAATTTAACAGAATTTTTTCTTAATATTTTCCCTTCCTAGCAGTTGTTCTCTTACGGATCCTTGATACACGCTTTTGTTTTCGTTCTCACCTTCTACGGCTTCAGAAAGGAGAGGTAGATGCATCAGGTACATGGAAAGGGGATGAAATAATCTGGCTGTGTTTGCACACACACATGCACACAAATGCATCAAACCATCCCATCTGTGAGCCAGTGGGGTGTTCAAATTTGCTCATGTATTATACCATTAATTTCACTTAAATAATAATATCCTGCGTCATTGGGCAACTCCCGAGAACTACTCCCAACAACACGCCTTTAATCAAATACTTGTGTAAGTAGGACCACTCTAACAGTGTCCTGATATATGAAACCTCAAGATAAGAAAACAAGGAAAGAAGAGCCCAAGGCCTATAACTAGAGTGTACAACATTTTCCTGAAACAATGAGAATAAAATTCGGAAATCCTTTTCGATTCAGTCTTAACTAAAATGGAAAGATGAATCAATAATCTACCTAAAAAAATAAATCAAACAGGGACAACATCTAAGTATACTAAGTAGCATCCCACAGATTGGTTAAACAAAGTATATACCCATACAGTGTTCACAGAGTATGTTTAATCTTCAACACCTTACTTTCTGAGGCTCATATCACTAGATACACACTCACTGGTGCTGGAAAGCTCAAGTGCTGGACAACAGCTCCACAACGCAATGTCCTTTTTTTTTTACGGTGTTGACCAGCTTCTGCGCAAACCATCTCAAGTTTGAATCACAATCTATGGCAATTAATACAGTGGCTAGCTACTGTGGCCACGGAAATGAGGATGATGTGACTTAAAAAACCACGACGGATTCTGGTTCTGTATGAACCTGATAGCCGTCTTCAGCAATTGGTTGAAGAGCAGTACTACACCAGGCACGAGGAACAGGACATGGAACACGAACCTCAGGACCCAATACTGGCAGGTGTGGAAGGTGCTCATGTGACTGATGAAGGTAGGCACAGCCAAGTCCAAACTATCGGCCAGGAAGCGGAACATGGCAGGGTAGGAGAGACCCGGCACCATGTAGTTCATACCATCAATGAGGGAAGAGGCCATGTGCTCGTGGCTCCACCCAACCTCTGACAGCCTCGGCTTCACCACCAACTGTTCTATCTCATGGCACAGAGCCTTCGTTTCCTTCACCGTCCCATTACAAAAGTTGTATTTGTCTTCGATGCCCAGAAGCCAACCAATCCCTCGCCAGAAGTGGATGAGACCAGCCAGCTCATTCTCAGTGACCCACCATGCACCCATCCTGCATGGGTGAGCCACCATCATACCCAGGAAGGAATACTGTGTGATGAGCATATCCCACTGACTGATGTACACTGGCGAGTTGTCGGGCGACTCCAGGACCAAGCCAGCTCTCACCTGAGGCTGCAGATCTTGGCAGATAGCTGGGTATATGGGGCACCGGGGTTCCTCATGTTTCTTTTTTTTCACATCCATCGTTTCAACTTCTTCATAGTGGGTGGAGGAGTTGAATATCTGTGCTGAGTTTTTGTGGGTGGAGCGTACTGTCATGATGTCCTTGTGGGCGTGGTCGAGAGGATCCCATACGTCCCCGGAAAACCAAGTTATAACATGCATAATGGTAGACACGTAGCGGCGGAGAGCCCGTCGTGGTGTGTCCGACCGCTCAGTATAAATCAATGGCCTCAGTATACGGCTGATGCTGAACATCACCAGTAAAGACAAAAGGTCTGAAAAAAATATGCAGAAGAGATAACGTTGGTAGAACTGTCGACCCCGATTAAATAACTCCCTATCCAGCCACTCTGGCGCCTCTGGCAGGTTACCGGAGTCTCCGGGCTCGTTTAGACCCTCCAACAGTTCCTTCAAGCGGGGTGAGGCTCGCCCCTCGCTCGTACCAATGGACCTCAGGCGAGTAACTTGTTTAATGTTTTTGTGATCCATCCGATTATTCCTGTCTGCCTCATCGTGCGGCTTTATGACACCGTTAGGGATATCGCCGTTGGGTGTGAGATGAGTGTGCGTATGTCGGGTCCTCAGGGCAACTCCAGGGGCCAACAGGGTCTGTCCCATCACCGGGCACTGAAGGAGCGCTTCCCCACTCCTTCCCTCAGCCGAGCACAGTAGTGTCATCGTGTCTGAAAAACACACTGTGTTACGAGTGATGTACTGTCAGTTTATTCAGAAACATTAGTATAAAAACAGTAAGGTATAAATATTTGGACATTAATATCTACAGTATGTGGTAATAATATACCATGGTCTCTTACTCCAGTAGGTGCTGTCCCCCCCCCCCCCTATATACTGCCCATTTTGGGGTCACTAATCCTAAGGGGACAACTTAAATCTACTCTTAATTTTAAGGTCGCTGCCACCAGATCCCCTGGACAGTATGTAGCTTGTTTAGGTAGCTGGCAGAGCAAGCCAGGCATTGGGTTGGGTTTTTCATTGACCAAATCGAGAGTGGGAGGAAGGGTGAAACATCAATCATGACTTAACTAATTTATTTCTTAACCAAAACATAATGCATCCAGTCACAGAAGAAGCCAGAGCATTCCACAGTTTAGCTGTGTGAGGAAAGAAGGATGTACTATAACGGGTTATTCTAGTGTGACCAACATCCACAGAGCAACTGTGGGCACCACGGGCAAGACGAGTGTTACGAGCCCACGGCCTTGCCGGCGGTACACAGAATGTCAAATCCACCGAACATTGCCCGTTAAAGTACCTGTAAAGGAGAGACAGTGAAGCAACATTGCGGCAACGAGAAAGGGAAGAAAGATTTTCAATTAAAGGAGAAGAGTTACTAAGATGAAATGCCTTTGATTCCACCCTATCTAACAGTTGGACAGAAGAAGAGCCACCCCAGATATGAGAGCAGTACTCCAAGTTAGGACGAATGAATCCCTTATAAACTTGAAGCAACTGCTCAGGAGTGAAGTAGCTACGGCACCTGTACAGCATTCCCAGCTTTCGGGAGGCAGCTTTAGCAATGTTGTGGATGTGTGGCTTCCATGACATATTAGAGGAAATGGCGAGACCTAGCATATCTATAGAAAATGGCAAAATGATTGCATCCTGAAATGTGATTTGTGGGAGATCTAATTTGGAAAGTGTAATTGGTAAATATGGGGTTTTATAACTATTGAATTTAACCAAGTTTCTACCTCCCCATTCGGAGATGCTGCACAGATTCGCATTGATAGATGAAAGGATATCAGATCTAGAAACAAATCTAATTTGAGAATTAGGGGGAAGTGAAGAAGAGTGAAGAGTAGAATCATCTGCGTAAGAATGGATAGAATTAGTCGTAGTGTGAAGTAAATAATTGATAAAAAGAAGTAAGAGTAGGTGAAAGAACAGAACCCTGTGGGACACCACTATTGATAGAGAAAGACCGAGAGGTCGATGCCTCGACTACAACTGCCATGGATCGGTTCTCAAGGAAGCTAGAAATAAGAGAACAAAGCGGGGGAAAGAAACCATTAGAGGGAAGTTTAGAAAGCAAAGACTTGTGCCATACCCTGTCACATGCTTTGGAGATGTCGAGGACCACGACGATTGTTTCCCCATGATCCCTGAGAGAGGATGACCAAAGATGGGTGCAATAGGAGAGCAGATCACCAGTAGATCTCACTTAGCAAAAGCCATACTGGTGATCCGACAAAAGAGAAAAGCGTTCAAAGTGACGGAGAAAATGAGAGTTTAAGATAGTTTCGAAATCTTAGAGAGGGATGAAGTAAGGGCAATGGGGCGATAGTTAAGAGGGATTAGAATAGTTCACCCTTCTTCGGAATGGGATGAACCAAGGCATGCTTCCAAGAAGAAGAAAAGTTTTGGGTTTTGAGACAAAGGCAAAAAGGGCGAGCAAGCACAGGGGCTAGATTTTCAGTACACTCCCTCAGAATACGAAGGGGTATTCCGTCCGGTCCATGCACCTTAGTCACATCCAACCTGGATAACACACCAGCAACCCTACGAGTGGAGATTATGGGAAAGTGCATAGGTTCAGTGTGTGTGTGTGTGTGTGTGTGTGTGTGTTCCGTCCCATGCAGTGTGTTCCGTCCCATGCAGCGTGCTCTACTTTCAATGATCAGATATGGTAGGTCTGTGCATTTGAGAACTCTCGTCACACACATTACCTTTGAATTTCATTTCATAGTGGCTTAACATTCAGTAATACTCTTGACTATGAAGGTCTATGGTCTTGTCTTCTCTTCTCTCTACAACTCACCATAGGTATACAGTGCAGAGACGCCCGACAGTATACTACAGTCGCTGCTCCTTTCCCACACAAGAATCATCGATATAAACTTAAAGTTCCACAAATGTGATGTCACTCCTCGCATCAAATAAATATATAGACATGTCTGGTAAATCGCAAAAGGTCTGTAAGGTGCGTGATAATACAGACGATGACCTCCACCCCCTTGAGCTAATAAATTATTCCAAATAAACCATTTTTAACAATAAGAAAAAATAATGACGATAACGAAATAAATACAAATGATAGTTTCACTACTTGAACGGTATGGTCAGGAACTTTTTTCACTCCTCTTCGCCACTGATTGGCTCATTAGCCTCTTGGACGGTCGGTTACATCTCTGTTATGCACTGTTGGCAAATACTGTACTGGGCTTGTACCAGGGGCGGATCCAGGAATATCTAAAGTGGGGAAGGGGGGGGGGGTCTGGGCCCCCAGGACACCCCCCTTTGGATCCGCCCCTGTGGCCTGGCTCCTGGGGTACAGAAAAATATTAATTTTCTCTTATTTCAACAATACCTCAGTATGTTTCGTTCAAAGTTCCCCCCCTCCCCGGTAAATTTCTGGGTACACCAATGTTAATAACGCCACAGCTAATTCTCTTCACCAGTACTACCTCAGCTGGATCACTGTCCGGGACCCGTTATCACAGGCAGCCACTCAACCGCTGTGTCCAGTGCCCACCACCACCTACTTACACCCCATTTGTATTTCCGATCCTGAACCCACACTCTTTAAGAGGCCTTCACTCCCACTGTCTCTGACTTGTGCTGTTATAGTTGTTATAATGAATTACTTTGAGTATCAGTAACTAAGGTCTTTAACAGCGTATTCTGGGTTAGTACAACACTTTCTTGTAGTTATTTTCACCCTTAATTACAAAATTAATCTAGTGCCAACTACTGCTTCTTGAGATTACAATTACTGTACATGGCCTCTTTGCCTTTGGGATATTCCGGCCGATGTCTTTGTTATTTCTACTACAGGTATAATCATGTTTTAACTTACGAACCTAAATCCTTTAGTTAATAAAGTGTAACAATACATTAAAAGTTAGCACCTACGACAAAATAATCTATTGCAATATAATAATAATTGTATAATATAATACTGCATTAATAAAACAAACAATTATTCTAGGTGATTTTCTATGTTGTGAAATTACAATAATTACCTCTGTAACTGTTGTCCTAATGGTGAAGAACATCTGTAGACGACCTTGGAGAATAAAATCTTGAACTTGATATTATTGATGAACAAATCCCCAACTGTCTCTGCAAGAAAGGTTACATATTAGTTGTAAATAAATACGCTTACACAACTCTTAATTAAAAAAAAAGGTGAAATTTGTGGAAAATATCTGAATACACTATCATTTGGCTAACAGGTTCTCAGAATAAAACAAAAGTTACAAGGCTTTCCTGTAGCCTCCCCCCACCCCCTGTTTATGATTGTGAGACTACACGTTCCGAGTCTATCTGTGAAGTAGATTACGAGAGAGATTACTTGCCAGCAGTCATATGATGTCAGGGTTAAAAGATTATAGTGAAACCTCTATTTAACGAACTATATAGATGGCAATACGTTATATCGAGGGTCCATTAGCTGTGAAACCTCCCATCTAACGTATTATATGGAGAGAGAAGTTCGTTATATGAAGTTTGACTGTATAAAGAAAGTGTCGAGATACTGTATTTACCGTCAATGTTTTTAGACGGTGAATGTAAACACTTATAACATTTTAATGGTTCTTTTGTGAGATAAATATTCCAGTACTCAAGTAAATACACTACACAGTACTGAAGTAAATGCGCTGCACAGTACTGAAGTAAATGCGCTGCACAGTACTGAAGTAAATGCGCTGTACAGTACTGAAGTAAATACACTACAGTAGAGAAGTAAATATAGCAGAATGATACGGTGCAGCAAGTGTTATAGAATAATATTTTTTTACATAAATTGGGATACAGGAGTCAGCTTACATTAGGTCAGTAGACTAGAGCGTCTCAAGTACTGGCTGCGTGTTTATCTTCGGAGATTTTTAAGTAAGGCGTTCTTAAAGTAAGTGTGCCAGTTCTTGATCAGAGGTGATTCACAGTCATTTGACATTAAAACATATACGCAGGATAGCTTCAAACATAGGTTGGATGGATGTATGAGTAATAGGAGTTGGGTGTAAATGGGACTGCCCAGTATGGGCCAATAGGCCCGCTGCAGTTTACTCCATTCTTATGTTCTTATGTACGCCAAGCACGTAATTAGTTCTTACATCACGTACCAGGCGAGGGAGGGTGGTGTTGGTGGTGGTGGGAGGGGGGTCAAGGCTTATACTGGTCTCATTAATTATAATTATAATTATAATTATAATTATCAGGATCAGAGGATGACTGTTTGGCAGGAACCTCAGAACTTGGGCTTCTAACTACATACATTTGCTCATGGTTCAGTGACGCCCCCTCAACCGCCAAAATAACAGAAATGTTGCCCCCAAACAGACACACGTCTTGCCCGCGGTGCCCACCGTTTCTCTGTGGATGTCGGTCACACGAGAATAACCCGTTAGTGCCTCCTTCTTTCCTCACACAGCCAAACTGTGGAACACACTGCCTTCTTCTGTGTTTCCATACTTATACAATCTGTCTCACTTTAAAAAGCTGGTTTTCCGGCATCTTCGTAGTGTAGATTAACACAGTATAACCTTTTTCTTCTCTATATTCAATTTCTTTCTGTTCTTATTTTTTCGCCCCCCCAGGCCCCGTTGTGGGGTCATTTGACCTGTGCCCGGGTGGGCTAATTCCCGAAAAAAAATACGGGGTTATTAAATAACTACAATAGGCAATTTGATTAATTGACCGCCACAGTAAATTCCGGACGAAGGCTCTAACGCCTGTGTATTCAGATGCTCATCTGTTTCTCTGGCGAGGTTTATGAGTTATGACACTCTTAGCACAGTCGGGGTATGAAGGGGTTATTCTCGAGCCACCACCTGCAGCTGACGTAACTGAACGCTGCCACATTGTGATGACACAATATGCCGAGATGGCTGACATCAACAAGGCTTGGGAACATAACTCTTAACATAATCAGTTTTTGTCGCTACTATCAGGGCAACACTCCACAATTTGCGGTCATTGTCAGATAACATGCGGAGTGTCTAGCCAGTGTTGTCGACTATGCAATTCTTCCGCCACTGTATACCACCAAAGGTTTATCTCATGGGACCTATCGTGTGTGTTGTCTGCACACAGGCTGGAGACATTGGTTTCTGCTTAAGAAACCATTACTCCAGCCTGTGTGGCCAGAAAATTGAGACCATCGAAACGGGATGGTGTGGGTCATGTGGTTGAGCTTCTGAGCTGCGACTGTCATGGAAGCTATAAAGTTGACTCACGGTACTGTCCTAAACTCATCTGTCCCAGGTGAGGCGGTGAGAGAGGTAATGTGGTGGTGGTTGTTGTTGTTTGGGGGCAAACAACAACATCAACCATTCTCACCGCCTCCCACCAGTTTATTCTACTCGGCTGACTTCTCCCTGGAGTCCCCGGCGCCTGACCTGCCTCCTGGCCGCAACCAGCTGCCATCCGTCCACTGCATCCCGACGTCGCGCGCTAGCCTTCTGAATCCACTTGCGATTCTAAACGCCCCCCAATGAGACAGGTGTCCTTTCCCTCCTGCACAAACTCGAGTGAAGGTGGCGAGCCGTCAGTTTGCACAGTAACACGCAGGCCTCCCTCCCTGCCGCCACTAACAAACTACAGCAAACTATGGCGACCCCCTCCCCTCCCTCCAGGGTCTGTCTTGGCGGGCCCTGTCCTCTTTGTACCTTCACACTCGCCACGTGCCTGACTTGTCCAGCCTCGTGTCTGCTTGCCCCTCTACTGTAAGTAGCCCCTCTACTGTAAGTAGTCCCTCCTACTGGTCCCGGGGACGTCAAGATAGCGTACTCAAAAAGTTAAGATAGCGTTAAGAATTTCCATTAAATCTGAGTTTTTAAAAAGGGGTTGAAATTTGGCGAGTAAAACCTGTCCATGAGAAACTCAAGTGTTTGTTTCTCAGTTGTAAATTTAGAATATAAGGAGTCTGCAATAGGCCGGTTGGCCTGTGCATGGCAGCTCCTGTCGAGAGTTACTACCACTCTCTAGAGACAGATGGACGTCACTCAGTGCGTCCTATCCTCCCCAGAGAATTAATGAACACGTTTACATCTGCGTCGGAGTGTAACTTAAAACAATACTTTTAAACCTCAAGTCACTATAAGACATCTGTTCCTTCACGGGGATAGTTTCTCATTAGTACAAAATAGCGTCGTGGTGTAGTGAGACACGAGTGTGGTGAACGAGACATGGGTGTGGTGAATGAGACTGATAAGTGTGGTGAACGAGACTGCTAAGTGCGGTGAAACAGGCATAATTATTAAAGTGTGTGACGCACTTAAAGACACAGCAAAAGTCAGCGGCAGGCATACAGTAAGGTGGGTGGATAGGTGGCTACAGGTCAAGACTGTAAGAGTTGAGGCAGGTCAGTATACAGACCCCCCCACTCCACACAGTCATAAAAAATCGACTTCTTATCGTTGTCGGGATTACACGATTAAGTTATCAGTTCACATCCATGGGCAACACATTCTCTCATGGGTTTACATAATGTTCAGTATTTTTTCAGGGTTATAACAACAATATATGCGATACATAAATGTAACCTACATGTGTATTACAGACGAGTTACAATATCTGCTGTATTCTCTACACAGTATTTGTGACAAGTGAGATTCTCGAACAGGAAAGTATTGATTTCTGCATGACTTGAGAGGTGATGAAGGAGTGACGAATAGAGAGAGAGAGAGAGAGAGAGAGAGAGAGAGAGAGAGAGAGAGACGGATGGAGGTAGAAATGGAGGTAGGGAGAGAGGACGGATGGAGGTAGAAATGGAGGAAGGGAGAGAAGGAGGGAGGGATGGAGGAAGGGAGGGAGGCAGAGAGAGATGGAGGTAGAAATGGAGGGAGGGAGGGAGGGAGGTAGAGGTGGAAAAAGGGAGAGAGGGATGGATGGAGGTAGAGGCGGAGGAAAGGAGAGACGGAGAAAGGGAGGGAGGGAGGGAGGGAGGGAGGGAGGGAGGGAAGGAAGTAGTAAATGTGTTACAATTGAGGTAGGTCGAGGTAATAACACTGCAACACATACCACAGGCACATGAACCACATGAACACAGCTCTTGTTTTGTGACAATTCCCTCAGCCTCGCCAACCAAAGCGTGAGGGAAATACTACACTGTCGCCTAACGAAATGAGTCATGACGGAATATTGACCCATAAGGTGAAATATTGACCCATGAGGTGAAATATTGATCCACGAGGTGAAATATTGACCCACGAGGTGAAATATTGACCCATGATGAAATACCGACCCATGACTAATGATGAAATACTGACCCATGACTAATAATAAGTTGTATCTTCATGACGACAGCAAAAAAAGTATTATTACTAGTAGTTGAAGTAAATCCAGCCTATAGCCTCATGAATTCGTAAGAGCATTGGGGGGTATGAGATTTGAGATGGACTACTTGGAGCAAGGTAACAGCAACATCTCACCCACTTACTGTAAAACGTTAATGTTTGAAGTTCGACTACGTGTTAGCAATACGCATGAAGGAATGGGGGAAAACAAGCTTACAGTAAAAGCAAATGCTATCCAGGAGTCACACAGAGACTGACAAACTAATAGCACAGACGCTGTATCTCTCTAACTTCCTTGGTGAAGGAATAATTACGCTCCAGCAGCCTGCCAAGGCATGCACGCCAGCAGCAACTTGAGTCTATATTTAACATAAAACTCACCTCTGACGATATTGTCAAGCTACACGTACACATGTAGTGTATACTTAACGTCCACGAGCTACGTTCATGTACTGTGTGTGTGTGTGTGTGTGTGTGTGTGTGTTAAGGATGTATCCATATTAACGTCTAAATTCATGATCATCTTCCCACCACGCATCAAGAGATAAACTTAGTTAAGTAACTGTGTGATAAGACTGACCTTAACCTAACCTAACCAGTAACCAAAATACCACAAACGGTTATACAGTATTTGTTCATATAGGACAGCTATTTTTTTATGTTCAGTGGCTCAAGGTACACACCTCTCAGCAGCGAGTTGACGGTTCACATGTTTACGTACAATTTCCTTGATAATCATGTCCTGAAAAAAATCTCTTAAGCCGTAAGCTCTTTCAGGCACCATTTATAAAGGAACAGTTTGTTCAGATGGCATTTGTGACT